CGAACAGAAAAAGGCATAGTAACAACACCATAATGTCCAGGTGAACCATATAAAACACAAATAAAATCAGATAAATAATCCAATACTGAAAGATCGTGTTCAACAACAATAATATACCTTTAATAAACCAAATGAAAATAGTTAAGAATTTTAAATCTGTTTAAACAAAAAGAAACTAACCGGTTTTGTCGAATAATATCTCGAATAGCCAAAGCAGCTTTTAAACGTTGTTTAACATCAAGATAACTTGAAGGTTCATCAAACATAAATATATCTCCTTTTTGTATACAAACATAAGCACATGCAAATCTTTGTAATTCTCCACCTGATAAATCAGATAGTTGTCGATCAATCACCTTTGATAAGTCAAATAATTCTACTATTTCAGCTTGATTACCCAATTCATTTTTTTTACTCATTAAATCACGGACAGTACCCTAATAAAAAAAACAATATTAATCTTGAATTTTTTTTATACAATAAAAATATTTTACTTGTGTAGCTTTTGGAAGTCGATCAACATATTGTGGTTTAAGTATAGCTTTAAGATTTTCTTCAAGAATTTTTGTAAAATAATTTTGTAATTCACTACCACGAAAAAATTTTAATATATCATGCCAATCCGGTGGTGACTAGAATTATTAAAAGATAAATAAATAAATAAATGTCGAATAATAAAATTAAACTTTTTACCGAATATTTTCCCAAATTAGGTTTTAATTTTCCAGCTAATACTTGTAATGCTGTTGTTTTACCTGTACCATTAGATCCAACAAGACCTAGAACTTGTCCCGGACGTGGTGTTGGTAAACGATGTAATTTAAATGCATTAGGTCCATAACGATGAGTTGTATCTTTATCAAGATTACTTGGTAAATTAATAATTGTTATTGCATCAAATGGACATTGTCTAACACAAATACCACAACCAATACATAATTCTTCTGATATATGTGAAATTTTTGATTCAGGTGTTACTTCAATACATAATTTTCCAGTTCTATTAACTGGACTACAAAAAAAGAAAGAACAAAAAAATAATATATTAATTAATCAATCAATGAATTTTTATAATAACAAACCATGAACGTTTACATTCTTGATTACATTTTTTTGGTTTACATCGATCATTATTGACTATAGCGATACGTGTTAATGATTCTTGTTCACGATCTTCTCTTTCAGGACGACGACCATGCATTTTTATCTTATGTTTCTTTTTGAATATAGAAGAGAAATCTACAATAGAAAAAGAAGTATTTATTCTGTATGAAATTTCGCAAGAATATATATTGCGCAATTTATGTAATTACGTAATTTCAATGTAATACTTTTGTCAGTGTGTGTGTGTGAGGGTGGGATAGGTGCGAGCGTCGGTACGAGCGCGAGTGTGAAAGTTAGACACCACACCTACACCCTCAACATTCGCCAGTCCAGCATTTCCTATTTCTAATACTTCTGTGTATTGATCATATTCACCTGATGTTTTAATACCATTCTTGAGGGTGTGGGTCTGTATTGGTATCAATACGAAATACCTACACTCACACCCGATCTTTTAGCGGTAATAATATGTTGGCTTCTCTTTCATTTTTTCATTAAATATTTGAAAGAATGTTAGCGGGCAATATTCTTTCTACTTCTGTTCTGTTCTTTTTGTTCTTCAATGGGATAAAGAGCACATACAATGCGCACGTTTTATTTTTATTGAAGACATACAAAAAAATGCTTCGTTTCTTACGTGTATGAAATTCCTTGGAAAATTAGATCGATTATTGAAAATGATGATAAGAAAAACAGTGATTAAATGAAATGATATCGTTTTTCATAGAAATGAATCAACAAAAATGTTCCTTTCCTGAGTTCTTTCTCAATAATTGATTTAATCATATAGATGCAATTGAAGTAAAATATTATTAGAAAACAAATTGAATAAAAGCATACTTTCAACTTTGCTACAACTAGTAACTCAAAAAATTCAGACATCCTGTTCATCATTTGATTCTTCTTCGACAGGAATACGAGTATCGAGAGTTACGGATGCCTCTTGTTTAATACGTGGAGGCTCTGTTCGAGCCATTTTCACACGTGCCATTGCATTCATAATCCAATCAAGTGAATCAATTACCTAAACACAAATAAAGATCATAAACTATCGTTTGAAGTAAAATATGCTTTGTTAAGACGATCATCAATACGATCTACTCGAGAGTGTGGGTGTGGGGATGTGCATTTATCTTTCTATTCTCTACTTGTTTACATCCACAACTCACATCCACACCCACAACTACTCACACCCGCACACGCATCCCTTGCGATCGCTGCACCCATTCTACAAGATTATGAGTTTTTTGTTAATTGACTACTGATGAAGAAAAACACAGTTGCAGTTTACCTTCGAAGAATTATTAAATGAACTGCAAAGGAAGCTATACTATAGAAAAAGAAGCAAACAAGTGCGTATTTATCGTGAAAGAAGGAGAAAAAATCCTTGTTTATAGTTTTCTCTCTTTCTTTTATGTGTACAACGGCGAGTTTCAAGATTTTTTTACCATGTGTGTGAATGGCGTTCGTTTCTTTCTCTCCATGAGAGAAAATAAAAAAAACACATTTTCTTCCCAGTTACACATGAGTATAGTAAACACTCAACTGTAGCATTCAGTTAAGTTGTCTATCTTGCTTGGATACAGTGAAAACAATGAATAATGACACGGAACAAAAACATCAGCATATCAATTACTATCGAAATATCGAAAAATTCGGTCAATACAATACCATTACTTGAAGACAAAGATATCGATATTGTTTATTCTCATATATCTGATAACTTCGCTAATGAATTTGCTGGTTTAGCGCTGAAGACACGTGCAACAATCGTAATTATGATGCTAAACACATTTATTCGTATTTATTATTTCGATCAGTGTAATACTATTACATCATGACCAAATTTTCCATCTATGATCGATTCTTTTGTAAATGAGATTTTTGAGATAATTAAATTTTAAAAATATGGTGAGCATCGTGCAGGAATGGTTGATTTAATTCTGATGAACTTCGCTAAAGGTGATTTTCTTATCGAATGTCTTAATCAATTCTTTCCAAATGGATCAAACTCATTGACAAGTAAGACTTCATTTAGTTCTTGCCTCTTCTTTTTTTATCAATATTCGTCAAAGTAACATAGGATTGAAAAGAGAGAAATCTAGACACGACATATCTAGAAAAATTTACTGATGTGAATGAAGCAAAATCAGACCGACTTTTTGCTATTCAAGTCTCGCTATGACTTTAATCAATCGTGGCGTTACTATTAGACTGAATTGGCTGATAGTAGTGTGCGATCTCTTGATCATCTTCTTAACAAGTACTCGAGCAATGTTATATAAAAGAACATCGTATGTCTGATTAATAGACCGGTGGCGGATTGGTGTGGGTGTGAGTGTCGTTTCTTGATCTAAAGAGAATAGCCAGACCCAGATTTAGACCCACACGCATCCACATTCACATTTATCTTCTCTCGCTTGATACTATTTCTGCTTTTTCTTTTTTTGTTGAACAAGAATAAATCTATTTATCGAAAGTTTTCGACTTTCTCTAGTATTTTGTAAGATTTTCATTTTTCTAGATTTTGCGACATATTCTTTGTTGATTTAGAAAAATAAAATGAATGTAATGTAAATTATTTTTAAAAATGCATAATACTACAATTTGGATCTGTTATTACATGTGGACAATAATCAGGTACATCAAAAATCCCTTTTGGTAATAAATCACGATTTTCCGAGTAATATGAAAAGTCAATATTCACAGCACTTAACCATCCAAGACGACATGGAATACCAGTTGTGACTGATGTTAACCATGAGAATGTTGCAACATCTGGTACATCTTTTGTCCATGAATGACATGCATGTTCCATAACAGTCACAATCCCATCATATTTAGTTTGATTACCAACTTGTAACCAATCTAATAAAGAGAAACAACTATGAAAAAAGAATCTGTGAAGTACTTTTTTACAGTCTGATCACATAATGCTGTGTACTCCCTTACTATTTATTCTTACCAGGTTTTGGTGGTGTCACACCTGTTTGTGTAGGATCAATACAACATGATCGATTTGCACGTTCTAATCGCCAAACAGTCGTTCCATTATGCATTATGGTGTATGTATAAGAATCTTCTCTCATCGAATTCATCACTTGTATTGGTCGGGTCCAGTCATAAAATATTTGTGCACTTGTTGTTTGATTATTATATAAATAATGTACACTACCAGTTGCCATCCAAACTGAAGGCCATCGTGGAGGCGAAGGTGCTTCAACTGGAGCGGTACTAGTAGTGTGAAATGTAATGAGTACAACGATTAGTAATTCACAAAACATTTTGTTAGTGATAAAAGTAGTGAATATAGATGTTTTATATATCGTGTTGATAAAGAATATCTGCAAAAAGAAAATGAGTAAACTGGTATGACACATTGTTATCTTACATTATTTTAAACGTTATCATATTCACACATTATCTTAGTTTTTCCATGACTCATAATAACTGTTAAAATATGGTCCGATAGAGATTTTTATATGTTGATTCTTTTATTTGAGATGAGTAGGCCAAATATTGACGTGAAGTTCACTAAAAAAATCATTTCGTAATAATTCAAGAGCAAAAGTAATCTTATCAAATACTGAGGTATGAAAACAGATCTCAGACGTTTTGCTCGGATAAATGATTATATAACCAACACAAGGGTATGGGTATGAGAAAGGCCATAGCAACACTCGCACCTTCAAGATAGTTATCCATTACATGGAAGATTATAGTCTAGAAATTTGATTAAGAATAGGTTATGCAATATTGTCTATGTGACTAAAGTAAATAAAAAGAAAATAATATTTTTTGCGTTGTTTAATATGAATTCTAAAGAAAAAGAAAAGAAAGAGGGCGATAAAGCTCTGCTGTAATAAACAAAATATCCTGTGGCTTAATCGATTATATATATATATATATATAATATAAAAAGTATGAAGGAAAAAAGAATAAATTATATACAAAGAAAGTAATTTCTTCTAAAGTAATATGAGAGGGTCTCACGCTGCTTGTCAATACACAAAATACTTTAGTTTATGCATTCGTGTATTATTCCGTTCCTTTTTCATTTTCATATAAAGTAGACACAAGATGGCTGACAAGAGTGTCATTAATAGTACTGTAAAATGCAATACTACAATGTTTATGAATTTTCTGCGTTATTCAATGCCAGCTTCAGTATCAATAGATATATATCGGCAAACATCAACAGAATCGAAACTAGCTTACGAAGTTATTTATATGACAGTGGCTTCACTACAATTTACAATGTCTATCTTCTTCAATTTACTAACGCTTAGAACTGTATTACAGAAAAAAATACGAATTACATCATGTGGAATCTATTTATTATTCTTTACTTTGGCAAGTTTAATTGGAATGAGTATTTTCTACCTACGAATTATTGTAACATTATATTTTAATGATGAATTAGAAAAACATAATTTAATTCATTGTCGTTTAAGTTCGATGATCTTAAATTGTGCCCAAATTTTGTGTTTATGGATTGGAGCCTTTATATCAGTTGAACGAGTGTTGATAGAATGTTTTCATTTTAGTATTTATCGCTCCCGAATTTGTGCTATCATAAGTTCACTATTAATTTTACTTCTAACTATAGCATCATGTATAACATGGTTTTTAGGCACACAATATGCAATACATCCGATTATTCCAACTATGTATCTATGTAAAATGCGACAATTACAATCAACTTGGATATTAGTAGATGAAATTTTTACCAGTATGTATATTCATGTAGTTATACCGTGGATTTTACACATTCTATCGATCATTTGCATTGTGACACATATTACACGTCGTAAAATTATCTTAACTGATACAAAAAGATCTAAGTGGGCTGTAATTATATATCAACAATTAAAAAAACATAAAGATTTTTTTATTCCACCAATAGTTATCATTATCTGTACAGTGCCACATTTTCTATTGGACAGACTATCTAGTTCTACTATAGAGGCTTGCCTAGAATATAGTACAGATGTTCATCTTCGATTGCATATAGCATTTGATTTTTTATACTTTTTAGCACAAACATTTGGATTTTTATTCTATATTTATTCGTCGAATGTATACATGAATCGATATCATGAAGCGTGGATAATGAATTGTACTAAATTTAGACATCGTAGCGCGCAATGCTGTGCTACAATCAAATTAATGAAAATTTCAATTGATAATGTAAATAATTCATCAAATATAACTGCTGAGTAAAGAACTCGAGAACTCTTCTGATGACTCTTACAAAACTTTGAAGATATTCTTGTCAAGCAATGAAAAAAATTAATCGGATTTCAATATCTTGACTATTTGATTCATTTCCATTTAGTAGATTATTACATAAAAGATGTATTTGAACAAGTTAATTCGATTGAATTGAGAATAATATCGTCAAAATTTGAATATCTATCTATTAAAAATAATTGGTTTCATCTATGCGAATATACACCGCGTCTTTGGCAATCTTTAAATAAATATTCAATCGAAAGATTCTGTCGAACGATTACATAATACCTTCTTATCGATTAATAAATTGAAGATCCAATTTAGTGGTTCATTAAATATGTTAAAAAATCTTTTCTAATCTCTCCGTAATTTATACTATTTGAATTTTATCTTCTGATGATAGAATTGAAACAGAAATTGATCAATTCTTCGCAACTTTTCAAACTTCAATTTAAATCGGCATACTATCGTCATTTGCTACACATTACCATATACTTTTAAAGAATTCATTTATTTAGATCATGACAAATTCAAATGGACATCTTCCGATTTAATTTCTTATCTGAATCCATATCAACTGATTATACTTTTGATGTTAAAGAATGTACTACATTGGCTAATTCATCAAATGTCTAATCTTCCAGCGATAACTTGTTTCTATCGAGATGACATTATGAAATATGTTATTCAATAGATAGACTGAAAATAATGCAGATTCAAGCTGATGAGTTTAGATTCTTGTATTTGTGTTAACGCTTAACAGAAGAGTGGAATGCACCTTTTCACGTTCTTCTTACTTGTAGATTAAAAGTTAACAATATTACTTCCTATGTGGTAAAGAGCAAATCGAAAGAAGAACGAAATAAAACTGTTTATTGTGTTAATCAGTTTGATATATTTCTGCACTCTTGAGAGTTAAAACATCACTAATTCCACCAGTAACTAAGACATTTCCATTTTGTAATACGGATGCTGTGTGTGAAGATCGAGCATCGTTCATACTGTGAGTGGTTGTCCAAAGTCCTGTTAATGGATTATACAATTCAGTACTATTAAAAGTATCAGAATGTCCTCGTCCACCAGTAATTAACACTATACCATTTCTTAATAGGGATGCTGTATGTTGCTCTCGTGCATGATTCATGCTTCCAGTAATTGTCCAAGTTCCACTTGACGGATCATACAATTCAGCAGTGTTTGTCGCACTAAGATTATTATATCCACCGGTAACTAATACTTTTTCGTTTATTAGTAAGGATGCGGTGTGCCGCTCTCGAGCATAATTCATGTCTCCAGTAGTGGTCCACATTCCTGTTGATGGATCATACAACTCAGCACTATGCAGACCAACAAGATTATTATATCCCCCGGTAACTAACACATTTCCGTTTGTTAGTAAAGATGCCGTGTGTCCATATCGTGCATTATTCATGGTATTAATAAGTGTCCATGTTCCTATCAATGGATTATATAACTCAGCACTATTTAGAGCACCAAGTCCGTTAAGTCCGCCAGTAACTAATACTTGCCCATTTGTTAATAGAGATATTGTATGTCCATCTCGTGGATGATTCATATGTCCAGTAGTTGTCCACATTCCTGTAGATGGATCATACAACTCAGCAGTGTTTAAATTGCCACCATTCTCACCACCAACAACTAAGACTTGTCCATTTTCCAAAATAGATGCAGTATGTCCCTCTCGTGCATTATTTATGCTACCAGTAATTGTCCAAGTTCCACTTGATGGATCATATAATTCACCGATGGTAGGATCAGCATTATTAAGTCCACCAATAACTAATACTTTTCCATTTGTTAATAAGGATGCTGTGTGTCGTTCTCGTACATTATGCATACTACCCGTACGAAACCATCCTAGATGAAAACATTTCATTTTCTAATAATCGAAATTTTTTTTATAAAGCTCTACTATGCGGACATTTTGACATCAATAATTCTTATCTTGTATACACAAGGCTCAGTAAAATATTATTGAAGAAAAATAGTAATTAAACGGAGTCGTTTAAATTATTAACTGGATAATTTATTCTTGAGTTATGACAACGATTAGAATTTTATGATCTTATTCAACTTGTGATAAACATCATGACGAATTTTGTACATTATTATAAGAAATAATTGAAGTGATTGGAGAACTTCATAATATAGAATTTGTTTTTATGAAATAATTAGACTTAGAATCAGTATCAGTCTGAATAGAGAATGAATAACGTGGTATGATCAATACGACATAAGCTTCAATAGTAACAAAAAATAATCAACACATATATCTATTGATTCAATTTTTCTTATGACAAACATTGATTTTGAATAATTAAGAATATTATTCCGCAGCTTACCTGACTGCTGAGTTGTAGTTGTAGTTGCTGTTGTTGTTGTTGTTGTTGTTGTTTGTGGCAGTGTTAATGTGGATGTTGCCAGTGATGTTATTGTCATTGATGATGATAGTGTTGCAATAGTGGTTTCTATCTCTTGAGGCACAAGAATGACGAATTTTAACATGAGAGATAGAATAACTGCAAATATTGTTAACAAAATAAAAGATATGATGATGATCTTAGCCCACCGATGATGCCACCATTTCTGTAGTCGATTGGTTTTATTGACATATGTACTGTATGCCTGATTGTCATGCATATTATGGTTTACAAGAAAATTGAATTTAAAAGAGAACAAGCGTTTGTTGTAAACTACTTTATATTTGTCTGTCACTCTCAAATGAATCGCAAAAGATAAATGCTATTATCTTTACCGTCACAGAGGTAATGTTATATTCTTATCATTAGAGAACAAATTTTATGTGCCTATGATATTGCAGAATAATACATCATCGCTGAGTCTTTGCGTATAAAATGTCATTTTCCATACATTAATCATTCACCATTGTAAACGACTCTATGTCAATTAATTATGATAGAAAATGACAACTATTCAGAATAGCCATTCACCTCAATCATAAACGATGATCGTAACACTACGACAACTATACATAGCGGTCGAATAATAGTTTAATGCACTGTATTGCTTCATGAACAATTGTATGACTCAACTTTCTCGGTTGATTGAAAACAGACGTGTGACAATTGTCAGTATTTCAGGGTGTGGATGTTGGTATAGATACTGATAGATAAAAGGCATCACATCCACCCTCATTGCTCACCTTTGATTGAAGAATTAATTTGAATCAGAGATGTCTTTCGTGCTCTATAACTCACCATCGACGGATTCTAAGAAATATTAAATTATTAATTTGCGTTTCACAACTGTAATTATGTTTGAATAAAACTATTGCTACTGATTTATAAGATCTCTTCCATTGTTAGAGTGTTGTCTTTGCAAATATTGGATTTAGAGTTAAATTCATATATCTTCATGCTGTCTCTCCGGAAAATTCACTGCATTGCGAGCGTGGATGTGAACATCGATCCAAGTTTGATAGCCACACCCACACTCACACCCTCAAGATGAATAAATTAACTCATCTATGTGAATATACAGTGCGTCTTCGGCATTTTTCAATAAATATTCAATTGAAAGATTCTGCAGAACGATTACATAATACTTTCTCATCGATTAATAAATTAAAATGGATAATATATTAGATCCGACCATTTAACGACAAATTTTAACCATTGAAAACTGATTCGTTTAATAAGGATGTGGATGTAGATAAGGATAAGAGTGATATATAAATAAATATATTTCATGTTTTTATTTTTATATTAAAAATATAAACTACAACAACACGTCACATTAATTTAAATGAAATTAAAAATCGATATCTTATTTAATTAGGAAGAGAATTTAAAATATCTAAATATTTATCAACTTTTCTCATGAGACAACTATACTATCGTCTGTTTATTCTATATCAATTAAGAAATATAAACAAGATAGTACTAGAATACTCTGTGAAGTACATCTATGATTATGATAAGAAAGGATTCTTCACTGTTGCTTGGCATCGCATTTTTTATTAGACTAATTGTAACAGTGAAGAGGATGGGAAAAAAAAGATTTTTATTAGAAACATGTTGTTTTTTGTTGATATCCATTATGTTTAATATGCTTAGTTAATTCATGTGTTAAAATGAATCATAGACGTGTATATTCGTTCTTCTCGTCGTCTCACGTTGTATCTTTCTTGCAACAACTAGTTTTTTTTTATATTTCTTACACATAACATAAGCTTCGATTGGAAGAATATACGGAAAATACGCTGTCTCCATTGACGAGGAAAGAATTTTTTTTTGTTCTGTCAAGGATTTTGTCGTTCCTTCTCTCTGTTTGCTTACCGCCAAAAAGAAAAAGAATGTACTTTTATTTTTACTTATTCAATGATACCGATAAAAAATATAATGATTGACTACTGTAAATTTTTTGGTATGGAATAGAGCATAAAAGTACAAGAACACTTCAACTACGAAATGGAAGGTTATGTCAATAATAATAATAATATCACTTATAATATTAATAAAAAACAGTATTCTAATCGTTCTTCGTGTACACGTAAGTTCATTGCTGGTGAAGCCGATTTAGCAGGTAAGATTCGTGTTGTTCTCATCTAACAAAAAGAGTATTCTTCAGTTATAAATACATTTTCCGTTCAAAAGTATTACGATACAAAAATCGTCCAGGATTCTGTAAGATCATTTATTCATAAAGGACGTCATTAAGATGATTTCATATAGACAACATCAATTAAATATTTTGCTGAATAACGAATATTTGAGTAAAAGTAGAGCAATAATGTAACTCATCATAGTAATACTCGTGATCAGAATAATTAACTTTCAACATCTATATCAATTTGAATGAAATATGATCGCCACATATTATCATTTTATTGTATATCTTTTTTTTGTAGTAGAGGGAACAAGCAAAATGACAACAGAAACAGATGCCAATGAATATACTAATTCAAAATCATCTCAGTATGGTTTATCATCATCAGAAAACAACGGTTCGGTGGTCGTTCCATTCGTTCCAGAGACAACAACTACTTTTAAAGAAGATTTGGACCAGGATGACGATGATAGTAAAGATAAAGGATGTTGTCTTCGTTATGATAATGGTTGTTGTGTAATTCTTAGTCGATGGTGGAATGTTCGTTATCCTTGTCAACGTAAAATTATTGAATTCGTCGAAAAACCAATGTTTCATATATTCATCGTTGTATTTGTATTGATTGATTGTTTCCTCGTGATAGCTGAACTTATATGTGATCTGATTAAACTTAGAAAACCTTGTCATGCAAAAACAACTCATTCGGCACATTCTCATCATGGAGAAGATCATCACTTAGAATTAGCCATTGAAATTCTTCATTTTTCATCTTTGGCACTATTAGCAATGTTTCTCATTGAAGTCATTGTCAAAGTATGTGCATTTGGACGAGAATGGTGGAATTTTCATAATAAAAAAATGGAATGGTTAGATAGTATTATTGTTATTGCATCTTTTATTATTGATTTATGGATGATGCATAAAGATAATCTTATCGCCGAAATATCTTTACTCTTCATAGCTATTCGTTTATGGAGATTTGTAAGTTAAATAATATATTCGATTAGATATTCATATTTCTGTTTTATTTCAGATTCGAATCATCAACAGTTAATATTTTTATTTCCTTCATTTTATTAAAATATTCATGTTCATTTGACATTTAGGTGTGGCTCAATCTATTCGATCACAAGATGAAACTAGAAAAGAACATCTAGCTACTACATATGTTCAAGTGATTGAATTGCTCTTGATGATCTCAGAAAATAAGACGAATTCGACGGTGGAACTTCGTCGTCAAATGAAAGCAGAAAGTTGTGACGACATCATTGAAAAATTCACTAAAATTGATCAAATGTGCCGCCATATTATCGAACATTGTCCGCATCCTTCATCAGTGAACACTGTTACTGGTATTACTCATCATTTACAAGAGGCCATTGAACAAGCTCGACTAACATCGTCATCAATGAATGTTCCTTCCAAAAACTAACATTAATGATAGATATTATCAATCATCTGACGTACAATTATGTATTTTTATATCTCGTATTTTTCTAATTCATACTTCATAATATTAAATTTGTTTAGTTTATTGCAGTACATTTACATAGGCAATAACGAACGAGAAAAAGAAAATAAGTAATTGAGGGTGGGTGTGAGTGAATAAAGAGAATAACGACATCTACACTCTAAACTTAAATTAGAGTCAAGTTCCTAGACATCGTTTACTCGTTGATTAAATTTTATGAATTCTACGCGATTTCATAATAAATTATTCATCATCTTGAATGTTGATAATGAAAAAATATAGAAAGTACTTTAGGAGTTAATAAAAAAAAGTATCAGAGAATAAAGAATCGTTATTTATGACTCTTTCTACACTATAATTAACACCTTTGGCTTTTGTTTTCAATATAAATATTAATGATGTATTAAAAGATAAAATATCATTCTTTCTTAAGATTCTCTGAAAAAAATCAAACGAGTTTTGATATGTCTTTAATATACATAGGCGAACAACTAACGATCTATCTTGGTTTATTATTTATAATCATTGGTATAATTGGTAATGGAATGAATATTTTGATCTTTTTAAGTGTTCGTAGTTATCGTAAAACACCTTCGACATTTTATTTTCTAATTATCTCAATAACAAATATAATTTATATTTTAATTAATCTTATCTCTCGAATTGTTAGTACAGGTTTTCTAATTGATTTAACTCGTTCATCGGTAATTTGGTGTAAAGCACGATTATCTCTTATTGGTGTTTTTGGTTTAATTTCTTTTACTTGTTCATCTTTAGCAACAATTGATCAATTTTTTGCTACATCACCAAATGTGCATCTTCGTCGTTGTAGTAATATTAAATGGACATATCGTATTATACTTCTTACAATTCTTCTATGTATATTACATGCAATTCCTTGTTTTATATATCTTGATATATCACCGATTACTAAAACTTGTCTAGTTACTAATAATGCCTATAATTTTTATCTATCTTTATATAGTCTTAGTTTAATTAGTACTTTTCCAGTTATAATAATGAGTATATTTGGATATCTAACTTATCGTCATATAAATTTAAGGAGAATTCTTATTCGACAATCAGCTGATCGACAAATAACACGAATGACATTGATTCAAGTAATACTTGTTATTACGACAATAACTCCATATGGTATTCAAATCACGTATAATTTAATTACAACTGGAATCTATAAAGATACAGATCGAATGATCAAAGAATCATTTTCATTGACGATTGTCTCACTGTTGACTTATGTTTACTTTGTCGTATGTTAATTTATTAGAAATAGTTTTCATTTTAATACGATTATTTTATAGGGAAGTTGTTATACATTTCTGATTACATCAAGTCGTTTTCGTCGAGCAGTAAAAGATCATATATGTTTTTGGCGTAGAAGAGCTCAAGTCGCTGCATTGATCTATCCGATACAGGAAAGAATTGTATTTCGAAACCAAGTACATTAATTAATTAAAATTCTCGTTACTTTTTTCTTCGTATTACACTTCGATGATTTTCATATCAAGTGTTAAACATAAGAATGTCTTAAAACTGTGAGGAAAAAAAACCCAATTGCATTTTCATTTCAAATATAAACGATCGTGACTAACAAGGAGAAAAGCAGTTTATTGGATCCTTTTAGATCTTGCTCCTTGGTGATAAGTCATCGAACTGTGCGCTTCAACATTTTTACAATTCTATATTCTTCAATTAGAAAAAAAACGAATTTGTTATTGTCGATAAGTTTTTCGATCAAGTTAAAAGAACAAGTCATTTTCTTCGCGTTAGATATAGTAAATTCATCTAAGTAATCCATCTTGAGGGTGGGTGTGAGTGTGAGCGTGATTGAAGTAGATTGATTCGCACCCACTCCTCGGGTGAAATTCCTACCAGAGAATTTTAACAATACGGAGAGAAATGTTCAAAATGAAATATTTATCAGACAAGATATGATATATTATTAGAATTTTACAGTTAAGATTGATTAATATATGTTGAGTTAGAATATGAAAAACTCTCACGTCTTTATCATGTTGAATAAGTTGAATATATCACGCGCAGCAATATTCTATAGATAATATTTATTATAGATAGAAGAAAAACAAAAGTTGTTGACGTCAAGGAACCGTTTCTTGGTCAAATAGAGATCGTCGGCTCATTTTTATATATATATATATAGTGTTTGAATAGGTCGGATGGGTGAGGGTGTGATTGGACGTGAGTGAATGTGGGGTGGGTGTGAGCGTGAATTACCCTGCTTGAATAACACCCATGCCCACACCGTACCCTCACCCACACCTACACACACCCACACCTACACACGCACACCCTACACCCTCACCTACACCCACACCCTTTAATGAATTTTATAATAGATAAGAACGAAACGTTTTCATCAATAACGCGGATTGTATTATTTTTACTGCTCTTGAGCTGACGCCCATTGTTGCCCTTCATATGCTATCCATTTGCTCAGAGTCATGATAAACTTTCTGGCATAGAGATGCGAAAGCCAATGCTTAGGTAGATTCTTGTAACCATAGTAAGCACCTGCTAGTTGTCCATAGATAGCCGCTGTTGAACCTGTTTCATCACCAAGATTGACCACGTTCAGAGCACCCTTTTCGAAAGAATTTTCATCGCACCAAAATGCCCATAAGGCAGCTTCTAAAGCATTAACAATGTAGCCTTTGCCTCGAATTCCGCTATCGTATCCACCTTCCCGTTGATAAGATCCTCTGGAGATTTTTATAATCTCTGGCGTCAACTGGCTTTTATAGAACCATGTTTTATGTTTGGAATAGAAGTCTCTGTCAAGCAATTGTTCTTTCGATTCGCCTTGAAGAGCTGCGACGATAAGTGCGCCATAATAACGACAAGCATCATAAGCTGTTCGATCACCATGTGTAATCTCTCCACTTATTCCGGAGAATTCCACGGCTTCAATAGGATGTCGCCAGAAAAATAGTGGCACAGGAGCTAAACGAACTAGAGCTCCATTATCAGCTGCACCTTCGTCGCTGCAAAATGTATTGAACTTTTCCAGAAGATCAAAGTCTGAAATGTAATCCAGCCGTTCAAGAGGTATTCCATGTTCGTTTGCAAATTGCTTTTGATGTCGTTCAAATTCGCGCAAAGATTGGCTGGTCGCTGCGTCGATATCGTAGCACTTTCCTGTGACTGACATGTATCCATACTTGTACCACCATTTATAGCGAACGAGTTGATCGTAAGGAATAAAATCTCGACGAGCCACTAATGAATTTGCCAGACAAAGTGCCATTGAGGTTTGACTAGTAAACTAAAAACAAATTTTCTATAAAGAAATGTCAACAAATTTTTACTTGTCCTTTTTCAAGGTTCCATGTTCCTCCTCCTTGTAGATCAGTGACTGGACACTCAAGTAAATATTGTCGAGATCGATATTCGGCAGGTGTACCAAGAGCATCGCCCAAAGCCAATCCAATCATTGAACCTTGGATACGAGTGAGAATCTCGGTATCAATATCATCAGGAGGACCTTCTATCTCACACTCGAGTTGATTGCGTATTTTAGTTGATCGATGATCAGTTGATTGATTCTGACGATCGAGCCATGGTTTGTCTAAAAGCACGATATTATTTTTGACGAGCTGCGTTTCATACGAACCTGTTTGAAATCGGCACGTTGAATGATATTGCTGCAGATCATTTGTTACTAAAACGAATGAAATATACAAACGAATGGTTCGTTCATATCATCTTCGATAATACCTAATCGAGTTGGTTGATTTCGCGAAAGCTGGTAATGAATTTTCTCATCACTTGACTGCACTGTTGTTGTTGATGATGATGATTCTGATGAAATAAGACTGTCTGATAAAACATCATCTGCAGTAGAAATATCTCCAGGTGGAGCTATTAACTGATGCGGAGGAGTTGCTTCTTCCAAGTGAATCATATGTAATCCATCTGCTGGACTCCATTTACTTTTTACACGAAGATAAGTACCAGGCATAAGAAGAATCTCGTTTTCATTTTCATAAACAGAATGATTACGAATATTTTTACCATTTAAACATTCAATCATGAATATAGTACGCACACCTGTTCGACCAATAAATTGTTCGAGCACATCCATCGTTTCCGTACATGAACTGAAACCCCACCATATGTAATCTTTTTTATAGTGTTCACTAACATCACCATGAACACCTCGCCAAACTGTTTTTTTGATCGATGGTAGTTTGTATAAAGCAGTCAGAAAGATTTTCAAGTAGGAAAACCATACCGTTAGCTGTTCACGCAGTTCTGCACGAAGTGTTCGATTGAGCTGAGCGTATAGACTTTCGTATGGTTGAGACCATTGTAAAGTATAAAGACGAATAGCAGCGGACTCGTCAATATTGAGACCATCTACTGGAGTGGTGAGATCTCGCTTTGTCAACCACAAGATTCTATCGAGATCATGTACCAAATCTTTTACTTTTTGAACAGCCTCTTCAAGTGATACTAACGGTTTCTTTTCATAGCCTTCGATAGGCATTCGAGGACGAGTCGGCTCTTTGTCGGCATCGATAAAACGATCAATAATACTCATTTTTAGTTATAAACTTCCTTCGTTGCTATAGATGAATAATAACAAAAAAACACTCTTTCAATGTTGTTATACGTTTTTTGTCTCTCTTACTCTAATGATTACATTTGTTTCTATATCAAAGATAAGAAAGCAACAAAAAAAAGAAATGACACTGACAACAGAAGAAAAGAAAAACTTTACTTGTTTGCTTCGAATACATATTTATATACGATATATCTTATTACTTCATTGACAACCACAGAATGAATAATTCTAAGTTTGGTAATCTTTATGACAGAGTGTGAGTGTGACATGAATATGATACCCACACCCTCAAGATGGTTTAAATACATTTACTATAAGACAATTGGTGAAATACATGGTCGTTCTGAAAAAATTATCATTTGAATCAAACTTTTATATCGATTGAGGGAAAACGTATTAGATTATTTTTTATTTTTTTCCCAATTAATCTTTTCTTTCTGTTATAGAGACGTGATAAAACGAATGGAAATTATAAAGAAATTAAATAATGGTCTTGTACAAATAACTGGAGAGAAAAAAAACAATAAAAATTTTATTATTAAACTATATTAGATAGATTTCAAGGTTTCGATGTTATCTTCATCAAGACATCGTATCACTATTATTTGTACATTGGTTATTTTATCACTATATAGATACAAACAATTGTATAAACAAGGAGAATTCATATTCGTATCATATTATAAAAGTTGCTTTTGACTCTGTCTGGCACGATGGAATGATATACAAATTGAGGGTGTGAGTGTGAATGTGAGGATTATGTGTAGGTATGTCCGAACTGATATCTTGATTATAAAAGCTTTAATAAAGCGAGTGATTCCATAAGTAAGTTAATATTATAAATTTTAACATAACAAGTTGAAACTTCTTAAGTCTTTAGTAAAATGAGTGCACAAGATCAAGCACCATTAACAAAAACAAATGCGTCCTATGAAGAAGACAAGCGTAATGAGATAGGTCAGTCAACAATGGCAGAATAAGGGACATTAGCATGATATGAAATAATACCAAATGACGAAGGCATTGGTAATGATCAAGGTAAATATATGAAAAAAGGAAAAGTATGAACAACCGCTTTCAGTTAGATCGCAAGCTCAGAAGTGAATGGCAACAGTAAATACTCGAATCTGTTGACAATTCTCACGAAGTAATTTTTTCTCTTCTTTTTCTTACCTTCTATATATATATATTTACAGTGTATGTTAATAAAAACTAGCGTCTTGGTTTATTTATTTCTTTTTAATATTTTCTACTTTTTTTCAATGTTTTTGGCATGTAAATCTTGATCTCGAGTATATCCTGTGCAGAAATGCTTGTCACCTCAGAATTTTATTCTGTATGACCCATTATACCTTGATGAAAAATAGTTCAATGAAATATATTAGCTTCTTGTGAGCATCTGTTTCTTTAAATGATGCTTGTTATATATTAAATTTATAAATTTTTAGAAAATTTTATGTTACATTGCATAATCATATATGATACTCACGAATATCACTTTTTTAGTATGGATTAACGTATCTTGATTAGATCTATTAAATGCACCATGATAGAGCAAGACTTTCAAGCACATCGTGTCTGTCGAGTCAATAATATGGAATTTGTTTTTGTGAAAATAGATATATTTTTGTCCTAAAAGTATATTAAGATAGTAGAAGATAGCCGGTAAAAAACTGCATCTTTACTTGTGCAAACGAACAAAATAAAATGTGAAGAGAATATTCAATTTTGAACCAGAATATGTCTACTATACGATTTTTTGATTAAAGTTTTTATATTTTTGTTCTATAATATATCAAAATAATTCTCTCTCACAAATATGTTTGAATAAAAAGATAGCCCGTGAAAAACTGCACCTTTCTGTATACAAAACAAAAACGTAAGATATTGGTAGTATATATATATTTAAAGTATAAATAAATAGAAAATATCACACACATAAAAAAAACTGTCAAAAATCTTTGTTTGATAATTCAATGATGACATATTATTTTTTGAATATAAAAGATATTATGTAAAATTACAATAAATATATTTGAATATTAGTTTAAGACATTCTTTGCTGATGCTCCATGTTTGCAAACTTTCTTGCCGAATATTACTACTTCATGTAATGCATAAAGTTCAACTAATGAATAGGCTACAAGAACAAATGGTGTTGATATGAAATGAAAGATATTTCGAAGAATAAAAATAAATTCATGAACATTGATTAATCGAACTATAATTGCATCAATTAGAAATGCAATTAGAAATGTTAACATTTGTAGACCAAATAGACCATACATAATGTAAGTAATTATTGGTGGAACATTTTTAACTAGTAATAACATTGATATTGTTGATGCAAAATTGAATAAACCAGCACTACACAGAAGAACTCCATAATAAATAATAAAAACAAAACCCCATGAAAATGCTGCTATTTTTGGTATATGTTTTGCTTTAATAATAAAATAATGAAAGACTTCTGCTGCTCCAATAGTCCAACGACGTGCTTGTCTTGCCCATTCCATAATTTCAATTTCGATTGTTTCACCGGACGTTGGTCCACTTACGACTGGCACGGGTATCATTGAAATTCGAAGATGTTGTTGAGTAACACCCATCCATCGAATTAGACAAATAATATCGTCCATTTGATAACCCGGATGAATAAAATTACCTTTCTTTGCTAGACTCAACGAAAATGAAAAAATACTCATCGTATTAATATTGAATGGAATTAAAGCACCTAACATTAATAAACTTCTTAAAAGTCCTGTAACACGTGTTATAAATGAGAGACTATCTAATTTCCAATTGTAAAATAATGGTGATTGATAAATTGTTGTTAATGCTGGTTGTTTTTCTTCTAAATATTTCCAAGTTAATGCAGCAATATAATTTAATGGAAATTTTGAATCAGCATCACATGTTGTTACTAAAATATTTTTCATATCATCATCATTAATAATATTCATTTGATTAACAGCCATTCGAAGGCCATAATTTGAATTCGAACATTTACCAGGAATTTCATTTGGTAAACCACGTGGATGAATAGTAAATATAATTTGTTCAAAACCAGCATGTTCAAATCTATTTTGTAAATATTTACATTTCTCTTCTTTATCTGATGTTTTTTCTTCAAAAGAGACGACCAAAGTTATTCGATGTACTTCAGTTTGAGTAGCTACTGATTGTACACTTGTAACAATTAATTCAATCGGTTCTTTATAACAACTAATAGCAACAATATGACGAATAGGTTTTTTTTTCGAGTTTAGCAATTTTTTCTGTATAGTTTTGTGATCGATTCATATACAAGATCAAAACATTTCGAAGAGCTAATATTGTAATAACTAAGAAAATTAAAATTAGTTAAAAAAAAATATTAAAATATCGTTTTAATTTCTTGCCAACCCACATCAATACAAATATACCATGCATTGATGGTAAAAGATATAAAGCAACTTGATTTGAAATAAATGGAATCCAGAATGGAAGTGGAATAACAACCCATAATAGAAGATTGAATAATAGATTCCATCGTAATCGTTGACTACCACTTTTCGTTTCACGATGTGTCATACCAGTTTCAATAATTGTATGTTGATTTGTTTCTTGATCTTTATCAGTAGATATTAAAGAAGTAAATATCAGTTGTTGTAAAACTTTATTAATTATCTGTGTTCCTTGTTCTAATCGATCAATTTTTTCTTTAACTTCTCCTGAGATTTGACGAAGAAAATTTTTCATTGGAATCTTGAACGTTGATTTAATCGATTGTTTCATCTCATTACTTTGCTCATCAATGTAACCATAGTTCTGATATTGTTCACTTAAATATCGAATAAGTTTTCTTGGATTATTTGCCATTTTTCAGCTTATCGTTTAAACATATATCCAATTGATAAAATCATTCTCGTATATATACCGTTAGATATGCTTATTTGTCTATGTATATTCCTACAAATTGTCATGACATATATGAACCACTTCCTTTTTTCATGGGGAAGCACAAACCTAAATAATTTTATTGAATAGATTATTATGAAATAGTTTAACGCACTTCCCAATTGAGATTTTTTCCTACAACGTAATTATGCGTAGGAGTAACACACCTACGTCTTATATACGCATACAAAGACGTATCTTTGTATATATATATATATCAATCTAACAGATCAGTGTCTTTTATTAACATTTGAAACTTATTTATTTAACAATGCACATTGTTTTTGTTCTTCTTTTTTGTACTGTAATTGGTATAGTATCTGGAAAGTCAATAACAATTACCAAGAAAAATTCCAGTGCATCAATTCACACACTTCCATTTCCAAATTCAGTATTTCAACATAAAATTCGTGGTAGAGAAACTAATGGAACTTTTGTCGTGTTCGAGGCTGCATATTTAAATGAAGGTCCTGGTTATCACCTTCATATGAAAGATGATGAATTATTTTATATTATTGATGGCAATGTTCAATTCATAGTGAATGGTTCTCAATTTTGTGCATCAAGTGGTGATTATGTTTATGTTCCACGTTTTGTCTCACAAGGTATTCGAGTTTATAATCCAACTAATAGTACGAAACCAGTCAAAATTCAAATTATGTTATTCCCATCTGGACTCGATAATTTTCTTGATGAAATAGCTCTTATCTATAATGAAGATCGAACTAATTCAACAGCTATTAATATCATTTCTCAAAAGTATGGTATTATCGATTTGGAACCAGTTCAATGGAAAGATCTTCATTGTTTCGAAAAAACTTCTACTTAATTATCATTCAACCTTTTATACTATTGAATTACATTCTCGAATAAAGTGTTTTTACTAAATCTAATAGAGATATTCAGTAATTCGTGCTGTCTTTTTCAAGAAGAATTTTCATCAGATTTCTACGCTTATAGAATATTTTTCTTTTTTATTACTTCCAGAAAATTGAAAAACCTCTGAAAAACAAGTACTGAGTAAAATAATATAAATAATCTCTGTCATTTGAAGCATATTTTGAAATGAAATTTTAAAACTTGTTAAGCAAGATGATATTATTTATAGTACTATTCTTACTTGCAAATTATCTCAGGTATGAAAGTGATTATATGATTATTTTTATCGGGACACTGTTCGTTTATATATAGTATTGAATAGAATTTCAATTCACTAAAATAGCTTTTATTTTATCATGATTCACTAGACTGTTTGAATCGAAAGTATTTTTGATATTTTTTACCAGTTCTACACATATTGTATTGACAGAGTGAAAGAATATTTATTTTAATTTTTTCTCCTTTCGATGCTATGCATTAGAAATTATGCATAATCCAACGAGTGCCTACGAAAAAATTATAAACTGGTTGAATCTCAATGTATATATTTATAGTTTCTTCCTTCTTCCGATTTATCGACTTCATGATCAAAAAATGAACTCATTCGTAATTCCTCATATATTATGAGTCATGACTAATAAACTGGACGAAAATAATATCTCAATAGAAAAGAGAATGCATCCTATTCCGCGATGTTGAACATTGGAGGAATCAGTTCCGCACCGGAATCGATTCCGTCCAATTCCGGGAACTCGATAGACACACAACATAAGACACCCAGTCAAGATTGATCGAGTTCGACCGAATTCCGGAATTGCACGGAATTCCCACCGATTCCGGAATTGCACGGAATTCCTACCGATTCCGGAATTGCGGGAATTGGTTCCGATTCCGGAATTCCGCACCGGAATCACACCATCCACCTCACCCACATTTGTTGTGTTGTGTTGATAAGTTATCCCGTTTGAATACGATCCAATTCCGTTGCAGAATTCCGGGAATTGCATCAAGACGGAATTTAGTGGAATTGGACGGAATTCCTGGGAATTGGTTCTGATTCCGGAATTCCGCACCGGAATCACACCATCCACCTCACCCACATTTATTGTGTTGTACTGATAAGTTATCACACCATCCACCTCACCCACATTTGTTGTGTTGTGTTGATAAGTTATCCCGTTTGGATACGATCCAATTCCGTTGCGGAATTCCGGGAATTGCATCAAGACGGAATTCAGTGGAATTGGACGGAATTCCTGGGAATTCCTACCGATTCCCACCAATTCCGGAATTGCGTGGACTACTTCTAATTACGGGATTACATGGAATTCCTACCGATTCCGGAATTATACGGAATTCCTACCGATTCCGGAATTATACGGAATTCCTACCAATTCCGGAATTGGACGGAACTCGATCAATTTTCGAGTCGGCATCGGATATTATGTGTCGATCGAGTTCCCGGAATTGAACGGAATCGATTCCGGAGCGGAACTGGTTCCTGAAATGTTCAACATTGCGGAATAGGATGACTGCTCATAGAAAATCATTTCTTTACTGTATCACTAATCAGATAATCTTCTATTCGTGATCACATCCAACCCATAATATACTCTCGCATTTTCACAAACTTTTCTTACTTTTTGTTTAGAAATATTCAAATTATAGTTTTCTTACAAAAAGAATTGAACTCATCTAGATCAACTTCTTCGTGATGTCATTATTATTCGATTAATTTTGATTCACTTCACATTTTAATATTAAAGAGTCTGAGAATCAGAATTGTGACATCCATGAACCATCTGTTTGTCTTTTCTATGTGGGTTCGCATCACATAAAAAATATAAAAATGATTTTTCTCTGAAGTTGATCAGTTGGGACAACATAGAACGATAAATAAACGACAAATATTTAGTTTTTCATCATATATGTATTCTACACGAATGCATCTTTTCATAGATTGAATTATAAATAATTCAGTATAATTATTGACATAAGAATACACATAAACGAGTGTATAATACAATGTTTTATATAGGTTTCATAAGTACAACCGACGTTTAATCTCTCTTCATCTTGATCTAGTACGTCTCATCTGATTTTTTCTAATACTGTAGATGCACGTTTAGATAAAAATTATCTGAACGATGTCAATATAGACAAGTATATGATCTGGTTTAATTTTAATTAAAATAAAAAGACGTTAAAATATTGTTATAGAAATGATTAATATATAAAAAAACGCAATAAAATAGTATTCATGTCAGTTAATTACTATCGATTCCCATAGCATATTGAATACCACCAAGTAAATGTTGAAGATACATAGGATCTTGATATGTGACATCGGTATGACTTATTTCTGTGTAAAATGATCTACCACCATCAAATTCTCGATACCAACTCATTGGATGAATATTACCATTTTCTCCTCCAATATAACTTGTTTCATCAATTGTAATCAAAACATGAACATCATTCCAATAGGTCTTACCATAATTGTACCATTCATCATTTAATTGCCATTTAGCTGGTAAATGTTTTGTAGAAATATGTGTTCGATCAACAACATTTAATGTAGCATTTTGTAATCGAGCTGGATGACTTGATAAATAACCGCCAAGAAGTTGATTATACCACGGTCAATAATATTCAGTATCCATTGCCGAATGAATACCCACAAAACCATGTCCTGCTTGAATATATTTTGTGAAAGCCATTTTTTGTTCTGAATTTAAACATCATTAGTTGTACTCAGCCAAACAACAGCAGCATATTGTTTCAAATTGTTATCAGTGAATAACGATGAATTTGTTGTTAAATCAACATCAAATCTATTTTCACGACCTAACTTTTGTATAGCTGCATTTCCTGCTGCAATCGATTGATGATGATAACCAGCTGTTTTTCAAAAAACAAGAATTTTTTGTTGTTGCATCTGTGTTGTAGTCACTGGCGATGACCAAACACTTGATGTTGTTAAATAGATAATTGTAAGTAAATATAAATATTTCATTTTGTAACTAATATGTAAAATATTATTCACCAAAATAGTTATTTTCGTTGAAGTGAAGTTAAACTCTTATGTTTGCTATATATATATATAAATGTTACTTCCATGTGACATCAGTTCCGAATCAAGATTTACCCTTTGAATTAAGTCTATGTCAAGTATCTTGACGCCGCTAAGAACGTATAATCGTCAGTACTTCCTAAATAAAACCCCATCCGCGCAATTGTATAAATGCGAAATATCCAGATTAAAATAGATATTACTTCCTCTTTTTTACATAGGCGGTGAAGTATATATAAACGAAATCGAAATATTCTCTTTCATACATAATTTATTTATTTCTGCAAGATTCAATTGAACAGTATAATGTTATTTCAAAATATATTTGTTATCTTTACTATAGTATCATTATCCATATTTTCATCGATTGGAAATGGTGAAACAATATCACAAGTAAATGTAACATCGTCAAGTATTTGTTATGAAATGGTTTATCCACCAGATGATAATCCAATTTGGTCTCAAGGATTAGACATGAATTTAGATATGGTACAATTATGTGCTGATGTTGTTGCTTATAAATTACGATGGTCAACAACATTAGATTCTGATTGGTATGTTACAGGTATTAATGATATTAATCCAATACTTCATCCAGAATATGGTTTACGTAGAATGTGGTCATATTTTCAAACACATTATCACACATGTGTTATATGTAAATCAAATAAATATAAAATCAATTCTAATGATACGAAATGTTGACATATATTATAATATTTCTTTTTCTTTTTAATAAATCTATATTCAAGGTTCTCATTAGTATAAATTAAAGTTATACTATAGTATAAATGAAAAATAAGTAAAACAACATTTGAGAAAACATAAATTAATTTCGTCGACGACTTTCGTATATTTTTATTTAAAATATGAACATTCGTCAGAGTTCTGTATATGAATAATTATTAAGCAAAGAAGTAACAAATAGAAGAGTGCTTCTATAACTTTGTTCAGACTGAACAATATGTGTTAGTTATTTATATTACTATTATACATTCATCTTTCTTTTATAGATCACCTTGAGGGTGATTATAGACGCTTCATTCCTACTATGGTAAAGAAAATTCTTTCTCAAAATTACATTATTTATTAAATGAGTTTTTAGAAAACTAATTGACATTCTGAAAACGATATTTCCCATGAACATAGATTCCGCTTTTCTCACGCCGACAGACAAACATATTCATGCGTTATCTTTATTCTTATCACAAAAGGTTAATCAAATAAATATCTTAAACAAACTCAGGTATTTCTTCAAATATATCACATTAAAATATTAGTTTCTTATTTGTTATTTATTATTTTATTTTTGAAAAGATTGATAGAGATTTTTTTAAAGTAAAATTTTAAAATCTATATATGATTTGATAATAATGTTCTATAATGTATTGTTTTAATAAAATAAATTGATAAATTTATTCATTTTCCAAAATTCGTTGAAGTAAATTATAAATTTGTTTTCTTCGTTGAAAATTAATAAATTTTCGTTTACTATGTTGATTATGTTTAACAATATTTTCAACATCGTCCGATTCTATTATTTTAACTCCATGTTGTTTCATTTCAATTAATTTTGTTTTAATTGTTTCATCATTAACACCTCGAGATGCATCTTTAATAACATATGTTTTATATTTTAAATCCGCCGCATCAACTGCTGTTGATCCAACACAAAAATCAAGTGCTAAACCAGCCACAAATACATGTGTCACATTTCGTTTTTTTAATTCATCATTTAATGGTGTCATATGAAGTTTATTATTATCATAAAATGCTGAATAACTATCAATATCAGGATCTGTACCTTTAACTACATAAACATATTTATCACTGGCTGGATAATGAATAAGATCATCAGATAATTCTGCTTCATCTGTATTCTGAACACAATGTGCAGCCCATAAAACTTGGTCTGTCCTACTTTCTGGTCCAGTATAAGTAATTGTATCTCCAATTTTATAATCTTGATATTGTCCATTTAGAATATATTGATTTCTATAAATTGTATTATTAATAAATGATATATGATTTTTTGGATGCCAATCTAATGAATAAGCAATAACATCAAATGGAACTGTTTTTATTAATTCATTTATTATAGGAACAACTTCAGCACCATCTTGATTAGCAGGACTATTTTTTAATGCTAATGAACCATTTATAAAACAATATTGAACATCAATTACAAGTAATGCATAGACATTATTCGAAGAATCATCAACTAAATTTAACAATGAAATATTTCTCGAAGAAAATAATCTGTTAATAAATTACCTTTTTGAGTATTTGATTGAATTGTATATATTTGAATAATTATTAATAAAATCCATAATCTAATTGTTTGAAGAAATTTCATAATTAGAATAAACAACAAATCTTAAAGAATAACTTAATGAGTTAAAGAAAATACATGTATACAATACCTTATAATGTATATTTCAAGTAAATACAGGGTCGAAGGACATATATTGTTTGATATTTTGTATTGTATTATAAATCATTGATGCATGAATTACTTATTTTTTATATAACAAATAGAAAAGTAAATCATTGGTCTAGTATTTGTTTTTCTCGATCTATATGTTAAATATTGTTGATATATGAATAAAAAAAACACACGTGACAATGTTCATCAATTAAATGATTAAATATAGAAAGAATAGTATATAATAATTTTAAATATCAGTTCAATTATTCTTATTGAAGTATAATTTAATGAATAGATTCGATCCGATTTAAATTCTATGTTATATTTTCTTGATTAATTTTAAAAAATAATTTATATTTTAATAGATTTTATATAAATACACGGTTATTATATTTAATGAAAACAAATATTTGTATAATAATTAATATATTTCATATGATGAGCATAGCTATATAATAACAACTGTAAAATAGTTATTTCGCTTGTGATATCGTTTTCGTTTTATATTAAATAGCGATGCACTATTGTTTTCTACTAAAAATCAATTTCTTACAGGGTTAATTGAGTCTGAGTTATCTCGAGTAAAGAATAAAAATAAACTTCATCTAGAAGATCAAATTCTTCTTTTTTTTATATTTTTAATTTTAATAAAGTATATTGTAATAGATAATAGAATAAATAAAAAATTCTAGTTGGATCTTGTATTTTCATCTTTCATGTTCTAACACGCGTCAAAAAAAGAATGTCGCTTTCTTAATGAGTTTTATAAAGCAACAATATAATTTCTTATTATACGAGCATGATATAAAGGTCTATTATATGCATGTAATCTTTTCAAAAGATCGATTTCTTCACATTTTACGTGATAATCAATAATTGTTGCTTCTAAATAGACATAAGATTTGATTTTTGCTTATAAAAAACATGAAATATTTTCTTAGACCGTAACGACGTGTATAAAACAGAAAGGTTATTTTTATTTTATTATAGAATATTATTGCTTGTCTAATCGATTTTTGTTTTGATGGGTAAAAAATACGAACAAACTGTTGATATTCACACCATCAAGATGATCATTATTACATAGTGTGAAAAGAACAATTAAAAACGCATCAATATCGAATCTTCAAAACTTAATGGAAGACTTCGAAAAATCAAATACGTTTTATTGCAAGTACGGGAAGTCGTGGCATTTATACGAAAATTTTTCGAGTCAATCCTGGTGAATCAGTTGCTAAACAAAAAGATTACTAACATCTCGGTAAACATTATTATAATCCTATTAATAAAAATTCTTACTCGATAGTTTTTAATATTATTCTTTAATAAATAATTTTCATGTAATTCTACACACAAAGATATAGACTAATATATCATTCTTCTGTATTGTCTATCAACAATTGATTACACGTAAGTTTTAAAAAGCCATACTTTTTGAAATAAAAATTATAAAGGACTGAATAAGAAGCACGTGTTTGTGATATACGATAAATATTCAATGACTAACACTTCACGTATATTTAAACGTAAAGATTTCGACAATTTTTTTTTAGTGAAATTTGTTTGACTGTGTTATAATTTCTAAATAAAGACTTGAAGAAGAATAGTGTGACATTGAATAGTTAAAATTTCAACGGATTACTTTTTTTTGTAACATAAAAGAATTATTCTCTGGTAGAAACAGTCGATTATTCTGGTCATACATAATATATACAGAAAGGAGAAGAACGAAAATTTTGTCATAACAACCCCACGATTAAAATAGTATATACCAAGTCGATTACATTCATTCTGTGAATTTCTCTAAAGAATGTTTTTTTTTCTTTCCTTTCACAATTGTTTTTAAACTTTCTTTAGATTTCAAAAAGTGATATATATTATATTTTTATTCTTAATGCAGTTTGATAAACAAATTCAAATTCAATGTAAATCTTTATATTTATTATTATTAATTTTCTTATGAAAAATTTTTTTTTTATCATTAAATAGATCTTGGTAATATATCATCATGGGATGTGCCGATATTTGGCTTAATATTTGTTTCAATAATGATTCATACTTTATTCTTTTGCTTTCTTCCATCATCAATAACACCAATGATTAAAAGTTATATTATATCAACATTTCACGCTTTGATAGGTGTCACGAGTGTATTATATTTTTTTTTAAATTATTCCGTTAATTTAAAACAAATTAATCGAGTAGCTGGCGGTGGAATTTATGGTACCGGTGATGAAATTATGATATATAGTTTATGTTATTCATTTGGATATTTTATCTATGATTTATTAATAATGTTATTTTATAAATCAGTAAGAACAAATACAGCATTAATACATCATATCTTACTTATATCTGTATTATCTTTAGGTAATTAAGTTTTTTTTCATTTAATTAATTAAAAGTATAATATTATCATTTAGGTATTTTGAATTGTGTTTGCCGTCCATGTCATTTTTATTTACTATTTGAAGAATTATCAACAATTGCATTAAATTTAAAAACTATCTATTATGATCGAACTAATTTACATAATACGTTTACGATGTTATTTGTCGTTAGTTTCTTTCTATGTCGTATTATATATGGATCGATTATATGTGGTTATGCACTACGAAGTGCTGGATTATTTGCTCAAATGGCATTGGATATAGGTGATTTAAAAAATACTTTTTTTGTATTATTACAAATTTCATTATGTGTTTTATCAAGAATACTTAATTTCTATTGGGCAATTTTGATTTTACGAAAAATGTTTCGTTCAAAACGATCAAAAACAAAACATGAGAGTTTAAATAAGAAAACATTATAAATTTATAGTATTAAGAAACAATTTGTATTCTTTATCTTTAGAATAAAACATATATATAGAAATGTTTCACATTTGTTAAATATTAAATTCCACCGATTTCGTATCAATCAAAATCTGCAAAGACAATACAAAAAGCAAAAGATCTATTAATTAATATAGAATTTTGAATGTACGATTTTATTTGCTATTGACTACAATGGTCATTGGTGTAACAGTATTTTTCCGATGTATAAGTAGTTTGTGTATAAGTCGATAAAGAAGTTCAATTAATTCAATGACACTCAATACACTTAAACCAATCCATCTAAATATAAATTAAAAATAAATCATATGATATAGATATTACTTACAATCCAGTTTGTCCTCCAATAGCTGAAAATGTATCAATAAAACTCAATTTAGCTTCTTGTTTATATTCGGTAACATATTTACTACCACATCCAATGAATACTTTTAAATAATTTCTTTCAAAATAGTAATCGAAACGTTGTGCAAAATCGTCAGGAACTAATAGACTAGTCGTATTAGTTCCATTCAATAATATGGCAGCCCAGTTTTCTATTTCTGCTTCAGATGGAGCTGATTGTGCACTAAGATCAGTACTAAAATCTGTATGTTGACATTGAGGAGCACAACGAGTACACCATAATGTTTGTAATTCTTCACTAGCAACGAATTTTTGTTCAGAGTCGAGTGCACATTGTATTTGTTGATTAAATGGATTACAAATATTTGCCGAGATAAGATGACCATCTAAGGTATATATATGTCGAGTAAAAAAAGCAGAAGGAAGAATACATGAACATTGTGAAAATACATAGGCTTGTTCACATAATTCTCGACATAGTGATTCAGAGTAAGCAACTGTTTGTGATGCTGTTTGATTCATAAATGTTGTGTCATAGAGAGAACGTAAATCATCAGCTATATCTGATGTACATTGACTATAGGGAGCTGGTAAAAATGTTGTTATAGTTTTACGGTAAATGATCGAATGAGATAAACCAGGTTGAAGACCGCAACCATTTTCATTAGGTAATGGAAGTTCATCATTATCATGTAATAATACAACAAGACCAGCATCATAGGAAAGAGTTGGAAAATAACTTTCACGTGGTATATAAAATCCTAGTGGGAGACCTTCTTTGATCACAAAAGTATTACTAACACTGTTCAATGTAAAGAAAGGTATTGATGTTTTCCAATTAAATGTATAACAATTACCAAATATTGATGATAATGAAGGAACAAATGCATTTGAACAATCAATTCCACTATAATTACAATATAACATTATATCAGTTAATTTATATCCAATCGATTGCTCTTCTTCTATTTGATTTCGATTAAATAAGTCAATATATAATGGTACTAACAAAGAATTCAGTATAGTTTGATTGAATTTTGCATAAGATGGATATAATCGATAGAATAAATTGACCAATGATATATTTGTTTTATCATATCGATTTGGAGTTGCACTACAAACAGTAACAGCAGGAAAATCCATTGCAAGATCTAAATTTATTTCTACTTTTGTTTGTGTTGGATATGCATAATATTGTAGAATAGATTGTATAACAAAGTAAAACATCAATCCTGTAGCTAATGTGAATACAATAACCCAGAAGGTACGATTGCATGTTGAATAAGCACGACCAACACCACGTAATCCATGAGTAGAAGCTGCAAGTAAATAATCAATAACAACTGATCGTCGACGTTGTTCAGTAAAATGTCTTTGTTCTGTTGGACCAATAATATTATCCATTGTTTTTATTTAGAAAGTAAAAATCTTGGATATTTATTGATGTATTTGTTTTAATTTTGTTTAAATTGTGACTAGTACTAATTGAGGATCTTCTTCTGTTACATATATCACTAGAATGTAGGTATATATAAAACTAACTTACGCTCGCGTTGACCTGCAATGAATTTAATTAGATTTAGTATAAGAAAATCTATGAATAGCTTCTCGAAGAGTCTAACTGTGATTGAAATATTTTTATAAATGTACCGATATAAATGAGAGAAAAAGTCGAGCACTATTTAAAATAATTTATATACAGGTATCTTTGTTTTCAGTTGCTATGTGTTATAAAAGTCTTTTTCTTTCTTGAATTAAATATTACCTTTTTGAACAATTACTTCCTACTTACATCGGAAATGCTCTTCGTAGCAATATACAACGTGAGGCACCTTTTACGCATTTTATTTTCATATATATAGAAGAAGAAGAAAAGATTCAATATTCTAATTGATGTTTCTTCAAAACATCTATAATCTCATTCTATAATAAATCATGTAGATGGATTTTCGTACTATCTATATTAATATTTGAATCAGATCCACATCTCATAATATTATTAGAAACTAATTTCGACTAAGCGTTTGCATTAAACTCTATGTAAAGTTTCAAAATTCTGTTAACTGAATCGTTGTGTCAGATAATTTGAGAATCTAGTCTTGAAATGTTATAACATTAAGTAAGAATAGATGAATCATGGTGTACTGTAATAAAATATTTTTGCTATCAAAGAGAATAATTATAATAATGCATTGTAAAAAAAATGTTTTTCTTCTTTGAATTTGACGTAAAATGAATAAATGGTGATCATTAATCAACTGAAAACTACTATGATATCACTATTTATTAAATAAATTCTATCAATAATAATTGCCTTGTCAAGGCTATTCATTGATTAATAGAAATACTTTTTTTCATATATTTTCCTGTTGTCAGTCAGAATTGATGATTGTTCAATAGGAAATGAATTTTTTTTCTTCTTATTTAGGAAATTACGATGTCAATGCCGATAACACATTCCTTATTGTACACTTAGAAAATCAAATTTTATGGTATCAGATGTCGTTGAAAACGAGATAGAGAGATCATAGAATAGTATTTTGTTTTACCATCATTCAAACCAGGTTCTACAAAGGCCGTACGTTTGAATCTCTAAAACAATATTTCGCTACTATTAGAGAAAATCAAGGAACACAAGCATATCATCTTTACTTTATTAGATCTTGAAAATGAACAGTGGATTAATATAACATCATTTGCAAAAAATTTTGATAATTCACTATCACATTTAAGTTCCATACAATTAATAATACTTATCATTTTATAAGGAATAGCTATTGCTTTAATTGATGTTACTAATAGAAATTTAAAAGAGTACGATCTAGTATCCATATTCTTCTAAATTTTTTGTCATCAATTCACACTTTACGAATAAATATTTTATTTATTAATTTAAAATTTAGATTTATTACAATTAAGAAAAACTACATTTTTGTCTAAGGCATATAGTTATATTAGATTTTTACTATTTAATTTCACTCGTTTGTTTATATTCTGCAGATTTTGTCGGTTCAGTTTCATTAGGCTTTATTTCTGCTACTTGTTGTTTCATTTCTTCAACTTCAGCAGCATATTTACATTTTGTTCGTATTTTTGCACCGTATTTATAAAATAGAAATGGAAATGGTACACATACTAATGCCAAAAATGCTGGTATACATGAAGCCCAATGAATGCCTAGTTTATTAAACATTTGTATTGTAAATAAAGGAAAAGCTGCACCAAAAACAGAACGTATGACACTATTAGCTGCTAATACAGAAGCTGCATAGATTGTATATGCATCAATTAAATAATTGAAAATGGATATAAAAACTAAAACCATACCAAAACCAACTGGTGCACTAGCAATTATTGAAACAATCCAATGAATAGATGGACCATTAGTCCATGCAAACCAAAATAATCCAATAGGTATAAATATAGAACCAACCATAGCTGGTGGAAGACGAGCTTCTGGTGTAGCTTGCCCGTTTTTACTTTTCTTCATAACACGTTTATATCGTATATTATCTAGAAATGAATAAATAACTGATATCATTACTCCAACTAAAATACCAATAAAAGCTAAACCACCAATTCCTTCACTCCATCCTCGTTTTTCTTGATAAACAATTGGAAAAGCACCAAATAATAAATAAAGAGTGCCATAAATAATAGCCATATAAATCGAAAGTAGAAGAACAATTGGTTCACGAAATAGAAGAGCCCATGGACGTAATAATGAAGTTTTCAGAACTTCACTGAATTTAGTTACTTTTTTTTCTTCGAATTGTGCACGATAAAGTTTACCTGTCCGTTCCGATAATTTGTTTGCTCTTCTATGTAAAAGTACTGGACTATATGTTTCTGGTAAAAAAAAGTACATAAGTATCCATACGATTCCAGTAAAAATAGCCATTACACCTTCAACCCAACGCCATCCTACAGTTTCACCGACAAATCCTCCAACGATTGGTCCTAATGCTGGACCTAAAAATGCTGTTGCTGCAAATAAAGTCATAACAGCACCACGTTCAGAACTATCAAATAGATCAGCAATAACACCTCCAGCATTCGTTAATGGAGACGCACCAAATAAACCAGCAAAAAATCGAAGAATAATTAATGTCCAAACATTTTGTGATGCTGCAGCTCCAGCATTAAATGCAGTTAATGCACCATAAGTTATGAAGAAGAGTGGTCGTCGTCCGTAAATTTCAGAAAATGGTGCCCAAAGTAGAGGTCCAATTGCAAGACTAAGAACATATAATGATACACCAAGTGTAATAACTTCATCACTTGCATGAAATTGTTGTCTAAGTTCATTAAATGGGCCTGTATAAGCTGAAGAACAAAATGTAACTGCGAGAGTTGCAACAGACACAAGTAATGTTAGAAGCCATTTGTATATAGTCGACCATTTCTTTGGATTTTCTGGATCATAGTTAAGCCAATTAATAATATATGGTGAACTTTCATTTCCTTTGCCTTTATAATTTTCTTGTAAGAGTACAGAAGTTCTTAATCGTTCACTTTTCCATGGTAAAAAAGATACAATAGTATCATTTTCTGAATCGATAAGAGTTTGAAATTTTGAATTCTTTTCCAATAAATCAGCTAACATCTTGTTATTGTTGTATTTATATCAATAAGAATTATAATTTTCAAAACGAATATTTTTTCCAATTAATATAATAAAATAAATCGTATATACAATTATATGTAAAAAAATAATATTGTACAATTTGTCTTCGTATTGAAGTCATTTAAATATAATTAAGAATGTGTATTTATCGGCAGAAACGCACTTTTAGGTCACATTAATAAAAAAACTTTTTATACATAGGTGTACAATAATTACAGACAGTACGGTAAATACATGCACTTTACCTTTAGATATAAACGAAAAGCCTCGTAATGGTCATAAGTTATGAGAATAAACGAATAGTATAATCTACAAATTTTTTCTCAAATGATAAAAAATAAATCTGGTTATAATCAACAGAATTTTTTTGCACAGTAATATATTCAAATATAAGTGTGTCAAGCCAAACGATGGCTTAGTATCTTTTCGTCAAATGCACTTTTATTTTTGCTTCCAGTACTCTTACCTTTTGATTATTATCTCTTGATATTTTTCCTTTCCTGTGTCTACGCTACTGAATATTTCGAGTGCTATTGTAGAAGGCACGAAAAGTATTCAGCAGGCAGACGATTTCTTCTGAAGAACAAAAGTATTGAATATATTATTATTATTATTCATAATGGATGAATTTCATTGTATTAAACAAAATATATTTCTTACGAATTTATTTAAAATGTAAATAAAATATGAAAATTAATTAGTTTAACAATCGAGGGTATGTGTGTATGTGCATGCAATAAATATTATGTGTATATCTATACTAACGGTAAGAGAATGATAAAATTACAGAGAAAGAAATAAAATTAATTAATTGATATTGTGAAAATGTGGGTAAAACGTGCGAATGAAGAATAAGTCATTCACACATCCTAACTCATTCCGCAATAAATAAAATAAAAGCTTTTCGAATTATCTAATTCATCATTGGTTACTATCAATAAATATAATTATTTTCGATGAAACAACGTAGAATACGAGTTTGAATACCAACAGAATTATAGATGAAATAAATTGAAATTAAAAAAATCGCATCAAAGTTCATTCTCTGACATATTATCTTGAGGGTGTGGGTATGAATTAATAGTAGAGATATCTACACCCACCCTTATATGTATATCTTTTCAATATTAAATGAATGAGTGGTTCAAAGTTCTATATATTTATTCTAAGCAGAAGTCGATAGACTCCATCTGGTGATATATTCAAATTTGTAAAGACATTACGAGGGATATTAAAAACAACATTTTGAACCATGGAAACTGTGAATCTTTATTAGGTAAAATTGATCGAATTCTATTTTATATGTGAATAAAAACTTTAGAACATGTTTTTAGATGTTTATACTTGTGTCTTTTAAATAAATCTACACAAAAATTGCAGTAGAATATAGATTTGAATCGAACAAAATAATAATAAATAACAAAGTACGATACAAACGCTAATAAAATATGAAAAAAGTAAGAGATATTGCGTAATCTAAAATTTAATATATTGCCTTAAAAAATCTCTGGCGATGTCAAGAAAATGATCTCCGTAATCTTACATAAATAAAAATATAAAACTTGAATAATTATTTATTTGACATATCCTGTATTTAGGTAAGAATACATCATAAATTAAATCCAAATGGGGAGAAGTAGAACATAAAAAAATAATTAATCCTGTCAACATATCTTTTCAAAATGTGTCTTACATCTACAAGCTTATTGTCAGTTAGTCTGTAGACAAGAAGGAAAATGTTTTTCTGTTTAAAGTAGTTCTAGAATTATATTTATAACGTCATGTTGTAATGCTATATTAGAAGTAGGTTACATCTGCGTGGTAATCAAATTCCAAAAGAAGTTCAATTAATTTTCAGTTTTTATGACATGATAATTACATCAAAGACTTTCAAAAAAAGTTTATAATACAAAACTTAATTTGTCGAAACTTGCTTAAAAATGATAATTAGAGCGTTTTTTTAAATAGTGCTATTGATTTGAAATCAAAAATGAGATTTAGATTTAGCATCAGTGTCATCCTATACATTTACTTTAATGAAAAATTTTTTATACTGCTCAGCATGATCTATATATGAATGACCGGAAGTCGGGTGACGTTATTAAAATTATTTTGTCGTAGTTGAATTATTAATCTTTGATTAATGTCAACTTAACTAATCTACTTTTTTTTCTTGAGATGACATTTGTCCTCAGCATAGTTGAGATCGAGCTTATTTAATCAAAAATTCTATTTTCTAATAAAAATATCTATGAATTCGAATCAGTATTAATATATTTTTAAATGTAATAGTAAACATCCAAATTATATTACGAGTATAAGCAATAATTACTGAGTGAAAAATAAAGATTTTGAATCGTTTTCTATTGAATATTTCAAATACTTATCCTTTATCTCCTTTAATATTTACAAACTAAACAAATGTTAAATTCCGCATTTTCTTTATCTTTAAAATTTACACAGTCTAGTTATATTGATATTAATTGTTCTTAAGAATTTTCTATTGAACTTATATGAATATTGATTATTAGCACAAAATGACGTCGTCATGTCATTTGAATAATGAGAAATTTAATTTGTCATGCAAGTGCAAATTTTCTCATTTTCTAATGCATCTTTTTTTTCAAAGACGATTCTAAAAGATTGATAATAAGATATGCACTCATAAAATTTAATGTCATGTTCGTTTGAATCTTAAGATTTTTTAATCTGTAAATTCTGGATTAAGGAATGAGTTTTTCATTTATAAAATTATATGACCATTTCAGTCGAGGAATAACTTTTATTCAAGTTACATGAATTTCCAGTAGTTTAGAAATAGAAGATGACATTATGATTTATACGTTATTCTATATTTTTTTGTTATGTTTAGATTATTATCATAAACATACATTGAATAAATATTATTTCCATTGATACAATGTCGTCTAATTATATTGCAATCAATCAACTAAATCAAGCAGCATACATGGTTGTAATCGTTGAAACTCCATTTAATTTTGCACTAGGAGCAATAGGTCTAATTTTCAATGTTTTGATTTTTACTCGACCAAGTTTACGAAATGAACCATGTTCATTTTATTTTTTCTCATCAACATGTTTTAGTTTATTTGTTGTATTTGTATCAATGCCTGTACGTCTTTTGGCAAGTGCTTACAATATTGATACGGCTTATTATAATCGTGGAATCTGTAAAATAGAAACTTTTGCTTTCGATTCAGCACGTACAATATCCTGTTGGCTAATTACTTGTGCATGTGCAGATCGATTTTTTCATAGTTCATTAAATGCAAATATTCGTCGGTTAAGTTCATTAAAAATAGCAAAATGGGCAATAGGAATAATAACTGTAATAATAACTATTTTATATAGTCATATGATTGTTTATTATGATATAATCAATGTATCTGATCGATTTGGTAATGTAACACCTACATGCAATGGTCCAGTTGGTATTTATCGTTCTATTGTTGCATTCTGGTATCTTATACTTTATTCACTTTGTCCATCATTTTTAATGCTTTTATTTGGTTTTCTCACATTGAATAATATTCGTCGTCATCGACGAGCAGTTTCAAATGTTCCTAGAACAAATCAGATTCTTCGACGTACAGACAATCAACTTTTACGTATGTTAATTGCTCAAGTGTTTATGATTATTATAGCTACTCTACCATTCTCTATTTATCAACTCTACACATCATTCACGAGTAGTTTTACAAAGAGTACACTACAAATTGCTCAAGAAAATTTAGCAGGACGAATTGCAGGTGTAATTACATATTTTGCTCATACAACAAGCTTTTATTTGTATACACTGACTGGTACAATTTTTCGTAAAGAATTTATCAAAATTATTCAACGATGCCGTCATCCAGCAAGAAATATTGTGCATTCATCCCAAAATAATACACATGTAATACCCATGGCGCCTAGCAATCGAGGAATTACCACTGTTCAAAGTGGTAATGTACAAAAATAATAATTCAATAGAATTCAAGAAACTTTATTTTTTTACTATACTATTTTTTTTTTTCTATTTTCTTTCTTTCTCTCTCTTCTAACTCAATCATGTACTGTAAGGACCTTTGAGGTCGTCAGTCTCATTTTGCCTAAATAAATAAATAAATAAAAAGAAACTTTATTTATTTATTGTTGTCTGTAAAACATGTTTTAGCTAGATACAAATAAAATATTCTTAATGCATTCATTAATATCCTAACAATCCATATGATTAGCTGGGAATTTACCTCCGCTAAATTGTTTTTGTGAAGATTTAACATCTTTTATCTTTTAGCAGACTAAATTAATTGTACCTAAGAGATCTGATCTAAGAAATAGTTAAAACAAATATTGCCCGACATCTTAGTAACAGATTATATATTAATTCACGGAAATGTTGATTCGTTTGATAGACGAAGTAATAGTGCGAAAATAGATGAAGCAATATGAAAACTAAATATCTGTAACACTTTTCTTTCATTCTTTTTCTCTGATATTTTGTTAACGTTATTTTTGTATGAATATTCTCTTCTGTTCTTGCCCAATTTTGTTTATTATGACACATACATTCGTTTCATATACGTCTACTATTCTCTTTTCATCGTCATTTGATTTTGTTTTTCTTGTGAAATTACTTGTCGTTTATTACATTGAATTACATGTTTTCGTAATTTGCATTCGATACAATGACTATAATATCGATCGGTGAGAATTGAACTTGTTTTCTGAAGTTATTAACTAGAAGTGCATACGTGTTGATTAGAAATTTTTCCGCTTTACAGAGAGAAACGTATTAATTATTTTAGATTTTCTGATCATCAAGGATATTTGACAATAATATACTGGATTTTATTTTTACAAAACACTACGTATAATCATGAATATGCTCAACATCCCTCGTAATAACACAGATTCAAATTATTGTTATAAAATGCCAAAACTTGTTATCAAGGTAATTGAACTAAAGAAAACTTATTTATCAGAAAATTTATTGTTCTATAGAATTCGATTTATTTTAATTATTCAGTTGAGATCTGAATTGATAGATCAACAGCTTTGCAAAAAAAATCAAGTTTTTTTTTCTAAATGCATCCGATAAAAGAATTAACCGTAGATTCAATCAAATTTTCTTGAAAATAAAAGTACTAAACACGTTGTCAATTTGAATGAATCATCTCAGGCATAAATTTCTGCTTTAATGATACTGATCATATTTTAGAAAACAAAAACCGATAGTTCTTCTGAAACGATATTGGTTAATGTATCAGCAGTGGCTAATGCACTTTGTCGTTCTCCAATACGTAAGCATAGCTTTCATTTTTCAATATTAACAACTGTATTTCTAGATATAATAAAATATTTGGGTTACGAATTGAATACATCAGTGAACATCAAAGCAAACTTGAATCAATATGCCTTACAAGGAGCGTATGATGAAGGACAATTGCAAGACTTACTCGATGGTTTTATAGAGAGATTTGTATTATGCGCGAGATGTATTCTACCTGAAACAAAACTAGTATGTCAAAATTCTAATGAATCATATGTCGATCACTCTCTCATTTAAGTTCCCTTTATATTGACAAATTTCGATGTACAATTAGTATTGTCTATAGTAAAAGAAGCTCTAAACTATGATTACCAACACTAGACTTGAACATATCAGTAGTTGAAAACACTCGAAATTCTCTTACCATGATAACCTAAATCTCATGATTCTAGAATTCTATTCAATACAATTTTCTATGACAAATTATCCGTCGTATCAATGTAACTATGATAAGATTGTAAAATTTGTCTCAGTGATGTCTATTGAACATCAAAGAATAGTTAGTTATAACCTCACAGTTCCTAGATTTTCGGTCACGATAAAGTCATCTATTCAGTCGGTATTAGACATTAGTATCAGTTCTTTTTTACTATTTTGTAGACGTTCGACGACAATAGTAATAATAAAATTTATCAAGAATGTAATGCATGTGGTTATAAAAATACAATTGAAAAGAATTCACACAAGTTAGTGAAGTTCATGTTACAAAATGCATTTCCAGACAGCAGGAATTCTGATAATCATGATTTGAATGTAAGTATTCTAATTGGAGAGAATTGAATTAACATATATATAATTTCATGCTACCTGTTTAGAATATTTCGAAAAATAACTCTAGCATTATCAATATGATACAATTAGAAGATTTCAATCAACAAATTTATGATCAGTTCAGTTCTTTATTAGAAGTTAGTTCAATTTGAAATTGATTTAAACGAATATTAATCTTGTTATATGTTTAGAAAAAGAAGATGACTAATCAATTAAATGATTCCGTATCGGTTCAAGAATTTCTAGCTGAAAGTAGACGATTGAATATAATAGAAAAAGCTCCATTTTATGTCGCTAAATGTTTATTTACGGATCAAATTGTCAAAGAAATTGAAGCATACAGAATGCTATTCTATCAAGTATGTTAATTTCCAATTAAATAAATATCTTATATTTTTATAGTTGTGTAAAAAACATATGGCAAGACAAAGATCTCTTCTACTTGGTATTGAAATGATAATAAATGAAAATCCAGAAGTACAAGAAAAATTACTCAACACAGGATGTATATCTAGAATTTTTTACGAACTTTATCAAAAAGACATTGTTATAGAAGAAGTTTTCTATCAATGGCACGAACAGGTAGATGTGTAAATCAATGATTTCTATGCTAAATACTATCGTTCATCATTGTTTAGAACGCGACAGAAATTATCGATGAAACAGTTTCAACAAAAATACGAGACTGCGCTAAAAACTTCATTGAATGGTTACATTCGGCTGAGGAAGGCAGTGATGAAGACGATAATAGATCCAAATAATTTGTAGATGTTCAAAATGATTTTTATCACAAGAAAATTAAAACATCTTCAATATATTAGCAGAACTCATAAAGTCAGCGATATGTAGAAACGAATTTTGTATTAAAAATTTTTTTATTTAATAAAATAAACTTGGTCAGCAATAATTTACATTCACAATTCTTCGGTACTATTAGAAAAAGGAATGTCTTACAATAGTTGACATACTCACACCGATCTCACTCAGTCACAACTGAATTGAGAATATGAGTAACATGAATCATGTCCTTTAATGTTACAATAAAGAAAATAGCATGACTAATACTGATATCTCAAGTAACCAAGAATTTAATAAAATGTGTTTAATCGCACATAGTGGAACCAAGATTTAGTGGCGTAACTAGAAATTTAAGGATGGTGGGGCTCAGCCCCAAAACTGTCTAGTCTTTTGGAGTTTTTGATTGACAAGTTCAGTAACTAAAAAATCCGGGTGCTGGGACTTAAATACTCGATGATGGGGTTACGCCACTACACTACACCTGAGAAATTTCAATCATATTGGACAAGATGGAAAATCAAAAGTAAAACTACATCTCAATGTTCATTATGAATAAGCTAAACAAATATTTCTATGCAACATATCAATTCAATACATTTCATAGCAATGAAAAGAAACACAATAAAACAAATTATAGAAAAAGAATAATTGATTTGATAAGTTTTCTATGCTCAAAAATTTATACTGTATGGTTCGGTGTGTTCGAATACGGTAGTATTTTTTTTTTCATAGATAAATGATGAGAACGAGATTTTCGTTGTGTAAAATTGTCAGTAAGTTTTTAATTACAAGGAAAGAGAATGATGTTTTCATACATTAATGATAGGTAATTTGGCTTGAATAAATGATGAGAGACAGTGTTCGTCTCGTTCCGTGCCGTCTGTTTGCTTACTATTTTTTACGAAACAGTCGAATAAAGACGATTCATGCATGAATAATAGCTATATGATAGGAGACGTAGAAATGTATACCGAGCATGTTTTTATTTTGCTTTTTGACTTCATTTATATTTACAGCTCGTATATATGTCGGTTCTTCTTTAACTTCGATCTTTTTTTTGACAAAATTTAACGGTAACTACTTGTGTACTTTTCATATTCATTGTATGACTGAAATCATAGTGGTAGCTTACAGACGATCCCTGAATGAAAGAAAACGTTTTTTCTTATTTTTTTAGTATTCATAGGCAGTTAGTTATATGTTGTGAAGATTGCATTGAACAATTTGTGGATTGACTTTTTTCTTACTTCGCTCTAAAATCTTCCGAAACTAAGCACTCTGTTATGAAAATCAACAAACAAACAATATAAGCCGCCGATGACAATCCAAAAATATTGTAATATTTTTATCAGTGAACAAAGCTATTTAAGATTATTATCTTTTATTCAGTTTCGCAATTTTAATCTTGTGAGTGTGGGTGAGAGTGGATGTTAAACAATCAGAGACCATTGTTCACGTTTACACTCAAATTAGTCACCTCACGCTTGAGATAGACAGACGGAATATATCTAATGCGAATTATTCATACTTCCTTTTTTTTAGTATTAAACTTTGTAAAGACAACTGAATATATTACGACTATGGATAGAAAAAACAGCCACTTGGTAATACCCATATCGAAAGATACTATCAGCTCTATAAAAATTTATTTGAATGGGACATCCAACGAAACGAATTCAACAACAGTATCTTCTGATAAAGCCTATATCTCTCATTTGAAGGGTATAGATCTTCTAAGATTTCTGTTAGCATTAATTATACTCATTTATCATTATCAACATTTTTGTATGTTCCTCAATAGGAATAACAACATGTCATGCTCGACATTCATACCTTATTACAAGTATTTTAAATGGATTTACACTTCATTTGGTGATCAGTATACTGTTAAAACATTCTGGTTAGTTAGTGGAGTTACATTTATGAATGTTTATAATAAAAGAATTTCTTCAGGACAAGTTACTCTGAAAGAATATACTATCAATCGTATTTCTCGGTTATATCCTCTGCATTTTGTAACTTTAATTATTGTAGCGATTTTACAATATATTTTTCATCATATTCATAAAGTATACTTTTTGTATTCTAACAATACAATAGAAGCTTTTCTAGAAAATTTAGTATTTATTCACACATGGAAATCACAATTTACTTTTTCATTTAATGCACCATCTTGGAGCGTTAGTACAGAAATCATTATTTATTTTTTATTCTTTGTTCTTTCGCATGGCCGTTTTTTACACAGCTTACCTAGAACTACTGTTGTCTGGATTTTTTGTGTTTATGCAGCACACACAAATATTATTTTTGCAAATTCAAACACAAATCTATGTTGTGTACTTTTCTTCACTGGTTGTTTACTCATACAACTACTCAACACTATAAAAAATGAGATCTTTAAAATATTATTTATCGTACTTTTGCTTACATTGTTAAAGCTACATACGGACAATCGTTTTAATCTGGGTGGAATGGATGATTTATGTTACACGTTATTGTTAACAGCAACAATTGGAGTTCTTTTCGTTTATGTGTTCAACCTGAGGATGTTTAAGAAAATACATTTTCGTCTTTTCAATTGTCTAGGAAACATGACATATGCAACATACATGCTGCATGTTCCGATTCAACTGATCGCATTGATTCTCATAAGACCTACTAATAATGATATTTTCTCAAAAAATTGGATATGGATAGCCTATATGTTAGTGGTATTAGTCACCAGTCAATTTTGTTATACTTACTTCGAACAGCCTATGCGATTGTATATACGTAAAATGCTCGCCGAATCAAGCTGCCGATTCAGTGACATCACATTGTCTATTAAAATTCTCAAACGGAGTTTACGCAAATTTAAAAAATGCCTGATGTCTAGTACTTATAGAATATTTTCTTCTCAAGTTGTATGATACAATACAAGATTAAATAAAGAATTTTTGAGGTAGCAACGAAACGCAAATCACTTTTTTTGTATATTGATAAAGATAATAAGCAGACTTTGAATTTAAAACTTGGAAAAATATTCTAACAGTTATTACATGATTTCAAAACGAAGGTTCATGTCCTGTTGCAAAATCAGAAAAATTAATAGTGTGAGTGTAGGTTTTGATGAAATAAAATGATAAATACATTATTGGTATGAATAAAAGAATTTATCGTACAGATTAGTTCATTGATGATTTAGCTTTCAAATCAGTCTATGAATATGGAATAACATGTTTTCGAAGTTTATAAAATGGTGGACGCGTTTTGCTCGCTGATAATCCATAAGCTTGTTCAACTCGTTTCAAAAACTCCAGCTTATTTTCATCAGGAAAAACTGTGATTGGAGACAATCCTGGAAGATTTTCAAACGTAACCATTCCCTCAACCATTTTTTCATCCTTCTTGACACTGCTGATATTTTTTAATTGTGCAGTTGTACATACTTCATACCAGACTGTCAGTCGACATTTCGACTCTTGAGGGTAAATAACTCGATGAATACCTAGTTTAAGCCGATTTTGTGTTACTCTTGATGCCGCCTCTCCCAACCAGATGACACCGATGTTTGATTCTAATGGTCCATCAATCCACTCATTAGTTGTCATATTTTTCAGTTGAAGTCCTTCATGTGTTGATAATATACTAATTGATAATAGTCCCGGATCATAATGTGGAACACAGTTGACTTCTTCAGTTGTTTCTCCATTAACAGGCGGTTGAAAACCACTCTTATTATTGTAATAAGATACAATATCAAGCATTCCAAAATGTCCATCTTGTAATGGTAAATCAGCATGTTCAATAAGAGATGATAAAGAGGGATGCTGTTGGAATATTAAATGTTGATCAAGAATTTCGATTAAACGTTTAGTTACAGCATCTAACATTTGTGAAAGATAGTTCAATGGTTCAACGAGTAACGATGGTATCAATCCTTTATTTGCAAATTCATTAAAATAATTTCCTGTCAATAGTTTAATTCCTTCTTTATGATTGACATTAGAATAACCATATATTGCCGTACGCTGTGTACATCCATTCTTCTGGTTTACAGATGCAAAAAATCTCGATAGTTGACTGCTGAGCCTTGGACTTGGAATAAGTTCTGTTGGTAATAAGACGAAACACCACCCATTCGATTCAAATTCAATCTGCATTTGATTTATTTCAGTTAAATCATTCAAATTGAGTATTTTATTTAAATCAATAATTACTTGTGATTTATTGTTCATTGAAGTTATTTTTGAATAAAATTTGAGTCAAATAAAAAGCACTATTTCATTGCAATTTTACCGTTGTTATTCTTGAACAGCTTCCTTTTTAAAGCAAAAAGAAACATTTCTTGCACAACATTTGTTATGTTTATGTAACGTCATTGTTTGTGGAACTAAGAATAATCATCAATGATTCATTCTTAATGGCGACCTTAAAAGGTAACTCATCAACTGTATCATGACTCAATCATTTTATTTTATTTCGGTTTTAACAGCAAGCTATTCTGATGTTGACTCATTCCTTCATTATTAACAGAGAAATTTTTTCAAGTCCACTACCAAAAAAGTAGTGGCATCTGGTTAATAATTTAACCATGAGTTACTTCCATATTTCTTAGAAACGAGTATAGTGTGTTTGTTGTGTCATATGAGTCACTCCTTTAAATCGAAGAAAAACTATTTTTTGCAGTTTTTTTTGGTGAATTAAAAAAATTAATTATGTCTTTTTATTTTTGACTGATTGTATATTTGAAAAAATGAAATTCATGAGATTTTGCTTTTTTAGATTCATTTCTTTTCAGTTACAATAAAACTTGATGAGAAGAGAAAAAATAAAGTTATTTTGTTTTACTTTAACGATAACAAAACTCAATTAAATTGTTTCAATCTAATTATAAATATATCATAGTATTCATTGAATATTCACACGATTAGGTATCGTACGTGCCGTAGTGAAATTGATCGGACGAATAATGTTTCGTTGTCGATGATATTGAAGAATTTTTTTAAGTTTTACTCTCAGCTCTGGTAATGATCCAATAGTAAATATTGGAAAAAGAAGAAAAGTATAATAACTAACAAATATCGTACGTGATGAAAATTCTGCCCCTATGTACGATGGCATACCACATAAATGAAGAAAAGATATAATTATAGAGGGAAACGGTAAAATTAAATAAAGAAATGAAATAATTAGCAACTGAATTGTCATTTTTCGATATCGTCGCCATTGAATCTGTCGATGTGCATAATATTTTTGCCATAAAACGCGTATTAGAAGAGTAATACTCGAAATAATAATAGTGAAAGTAGGTAGAATTCCATGAACTATTAAATCATATAGAAAGAGTGTTGTATTGTAAAAAGCACAAGAGAAAAAACCTGGTCTACTATAATGATCGAAATTATTCACACATTGTGAAGCAAAATATACCAAAATATAATATAGTAGACAATAAAAAATTATTATAAACGGTGGAAAATAATGAAAAAATATTCGTTTCTTTCTAGTTGATAATAATTGATCATGAAAAATGAGAATATGTCTTTCAATTGTGATCCAAGCGTATAGTAAAAATTGAAGAACATATACTTGCCAATCAACATATCCCCAGATAAGACGAAGAACAGGTATTATGGTAAAAGTTTCAAAAGTACGAAAATAATGAATAAAACAAGATATATTTGTTAGACTATAAAATAGATTAATAAGAAGAAGAATAATCATGGCATAATTATGAAGTTCTCGACGAAGATTACGATTAAGAAGAAGATGATATAAAGCAAATAAACATCCAATAAGTGATGGAATAATTAAGAAAAGAAATACCCAGAATTGAGTTGAGTAGAATTGCTGTGTATCGACATCAAATATTGATAGATCTTCATTGGAACTATTATCAACAGTTGACATCGTGGAATAAAATGAAACAGTTATTGAGTACAGACGTGTTGAAGTAATGATGTGAGCGAGAAAAGATTTTGACAATGATATGCACTATATTTTTATGAATTTTCAAATTAGTAACTCATGGTAAGCATTCTGGAAGATAATTAAAAAGCTGTCAGGCCAGTTCTTGTCTGATAATAATATGAAATAACTATTATTTTTCCCTTGTAAGATAATTTAATTATAAGAAAGTACGGAATTTTGTCCTCATAGTATTTTTTAAAGTAGTTTTACTGAATAACAAAATCAAATATATACATGTAAGAATTTAAAACATCCCCTGAGGTACAAAAATATTACAAACAATACTATGCATGTGAAATTCTTTTAATCCTAAACGCGTTTCAGTTGCGTCATCATCATGTTCATATAATGATCATCTCTCCCAAGAGGCATCATATATGACAAATATTTGATTGTTATACATACTTTTAGATTATGCAATGAGCGAGGCTAGCACATAATACATTTGATTATAAGTCTATTTACTTGAACCAATGAACTAAAGTAGCTTATCTATCTGTCAGACAGATTTCTATTTTAACAAGATAATCTTTTAGACGTTAACTGATATGGAAGAAAATATATAGAAAATCGTAAATATATTTCCATTACTTGTGAAAACTATTTCTATATTCATAAAGAAAAATATTAATATTAGTTTTTGATAATTATATTTTTTTAATTTTGCTTCGTTTAACAAAGCTTTTAATATCACTATTTCTTATCATATCAAACAGTAATTCAATAGTACTGTTTAAATTTGATTTTTCATGTGAAAAAAACTTTTGGTGTTTTATTTGATAAAGATAAATTATTTTGGTATGAGAAATTTTAACTATTTTATTGATGTGAACTGTTATGTTTGCACGTTCGATCCAAAAAAATGAATAGGTATATTGAGTTTCTTGTGTACGTGAAGACAAAACGAAGAAAACAACAACCGCTACATTACATGAAGTTACTATCGAAATATTAAAAGTTTACATTATTAATAATAAGTTCTACCTACTCATTTTTATCCTCAAGATAATGTATGAGCTATTTATATTAGATTTTAATATAATTTTCAAACTCTTGCGGAGCTTTTTTTGACAATATTGAGGCTCCTTGAGGCATAACTTCTTTTTCAATTTAATAGTATACAATGTTGAGAACATCAATTATTAGATAGATCAATATGTATCGATGTATGAAGATGCAGTCGATAGTGAATTATCCCTTTACATATATGTATATATTCACACTGTCTTACACAAACAAAAAATTAAAAAAGTGAACAACACAATGAGACAGACTATACGTCATTTTGTGTGTATAATACCGAAAGAAAAGAAATAAATAGGTGAAAGCGGTGTAACATTTTTTTTTTCTTTTGTTGTTCGTAATGATATATATAATTTGATATGTATCTGATCAGCACGAGATTATCAGCACATCTTTCATTGATATGAGAGCACTAATTCATATATAGTTGTATTTCACTTTCTCGTTAATTATAAAACATTTATCATGTATACGATGAACAAAAAAAATCATATATGAATATATTTATCTAACTGCTGATTCACTTTTTTATGAAGATAAATAAAAGTAATGCGTATATCCTTGATCATAAAATCATAATGAAAAAAAAAATATATACACGTGCTCGTATCTTGTAATCACTTTTTGTATAGTTTATACTCAAAGCATTCGTCATTCATTTATTCGCTCTCGATTGTCATCAACCGTTATCACATATCATCTCACGGTAACTATAATTATATTGTTAATATTTACCTTGCATTATTCATGAATTGTATTTTACATTTTATGAATTTGTATCATATTGATTATTTCGAGAAGTATAAACGGTTGCGAATGTTTCCTTGAATTTATTTTTTTGTAGACAATGTAATCTTGTGAAAATATATAAAAGAATAATTCAGTTGAAAAATGTTTTGTTAGATGAATACCTTGAATTTTAATACATTCATTATTACATTTAAGAGACGATGTATACATCCAGTTTAGCTTTATCTTAGTACAGATTCGGAAGAAAAATAAATATTGATGAGATAATATTTGAATATTAATATCGAAAGTCATAAATGAATATTCATTTTTTTTTTGTTGAGAGATTATATACATAGTACTTTACAATATGTTACTTTTATCATACAGAGAAGTTTCTGTCGATTACATTTTAGTTTTATTACGAATATTAGTGTTGAGATAATAATATAAATTTCAGTTTCTTACAACGATAGTTTAACTAGATGAGTGAGAGCAATACAATGCGTCTTCAGCGAATGAATAGTCGTCTAATGAGCGAAAAGATCGACAGCTCAAAAATGCTTAGTCCTATAACTGGTTATGCTCAAGAACCTGTTCTGCCGCTTACTGATGCATGTTACCCATTGGTCAACATTATTGATAACATATCAACATATGCCTCGGTTGCTTTGGAAGAAACTCCAAATATTCCAGCTGATGGACTAACTCGTGATGAATCAGCTTCAATTCGTCTCTACACAATGGAGTGGACTGATGGACAGCGCAGTCTCTATATAGTTCTTAATGAGACTCTCAAAGTAGCTGATCGCAACAAATTACGACCATGGTTCAAATACATAAAACTTTTTCTTTCTGCATTGGTCAAAATTCCATGCGCGCCACCGCAGACTATCTGGCGTGGAGTTCGACGGAATGTTAGTAAAGAATTTCCACATGGTATGCAAGTGACATGGTGGTCTTTTTCATCATGCACAACAACACTTACTGTGTTAGAGAACGAAGTATATTTGGGCACCAAAGGAGAAAGAACTCTATTTTCCATTGAAGTCTTCAATGGTAGAAATATACGTGCTCATTCACATTTTGATAATGAGGATGAAGTGTTAATGCTTCCGGGAACTTATATGAAAGTACATTCACAAATGAAATCAGCACCTGATCTTTATATTATTCATTTGAAACAGGAAATGCCAAAGACAATGTTGATTGAACCACCATTCGAAGGTATGTAGAGAATTTCCAAGATTGACTACGAATTAAAGCTCTTTTTTTGACTAGGTGCGTCTTTTTATCCAAAAATTTCGTAAGCTTCATTTCTTAACGTTTTATTAACTTTTTTTTCCAAACTTTTTAGCGCTCCGCTAGGACATTGGTTTCGCAAGAAGAGATTTTTAATTCCCATCATCTTATTAACGATTTCGGTAATCGTGGCAGTTATTCTCGCCGTTCTACTGGGAAGAAGATCCTCTACAAACATAACACGTATGTTGTTTAAATCTTTTACTTCTGAATTTTGAGGATACTTTTGGTTCTATCTATTTGTAATATCTGATGAATAACCTATCCTAAATATATATTGATATTATTCTGATCGTAAAACACCATCTTGAGATTGATGTGAGGGTATATTATGTTTATTTAGAATCATACCCATATCCTGAAATGTAGATTGAGCTGTATGAAAGATATTTAAGTTTTATACATGTTGTTTCGATCAATAGAAAAAGATTTAGAAGAATTTTACCAATTTTTTTTATATTGCAGCTGTTTTACAAAATAAAGTTCATAACGAAGGTTTAGTCGATGCAAAACCTGTACCTGGATTTCAAGGCCAAAATGGACCAGCGATTGGTTCATGGTTTCGCGCAAACAATAGTGAAGATGGAAGTAATGGACGGAGCTGGTGCGGTTACAATTATTACGATACTGACAATGGCTTTGCACCAGACATTTTAGTGATGTGTGAAGGTAATCCATGCACATATTATTCTAGTCCAGATAATTGGAGAAAATATGGTGAACAATATTGTGGTCTCGAGGCAGAAGTAACAAATATCAGAACGGGATTGACTAGAAAGATTTATATTAGTGATGCATTCGCGCATGAGTGGGTGGAAAAACCAGGATCCATCAATCTTATGGTAGAATCGTTTAAACAACTTGCTGGATTCGTTCCATCGAATAAAACTCAAATTATTAAAGTTCTTTGGAAGCTTACCGGAAAACGTAATAATTACTATGCTTTCAAGGGATAGACTTCAAACATTCGTTGTTTTTTCTTGGCTGAGTTCGGCTGAGCATGAGATAAACTTTAGCTTCTTCCATTTGAAATAAATTACTACAGAACTTGAGGGTGTGGGTGTGCAATTAAATGTGAGTAATCATAGAGCAAGAGCTCACCCGCCCACAATCACACTTACACCTTCAATAATATATTAGTGTGAAAAATATATTGTTTAGAAGTAAAAAACATCACATCTATAACTTTTAGTATGTGTTAAGATGGTTAGTTGATTAACACAAAATTTCATAATTATTATTAATAAAAGAATGACGATATCTTATTAAAAATGTTTTCCTAACCAAAGATAATAATCTGTTCTTCTGTAATGATAAAACAATTGGAATGATTGAATTTTGTTTTTTGTTAATTGAACTATTCCATAATAATTGGTAGATGATTCCTTTCTTTGATAATAAACACATTATCTGAATGTATTCAACGGCATATAATAACCACAAATAACATTCATTATATACGGTTGTTATGCATTCAGTACTGTTTCAGAACTTTAAATAGGCGAAAGTAATTTGAGGTACAATTGACATCACTTACTAGTTCCGATGTTAAAAGAAGGTGTGGGTCTGAGCTAGAACGTAGATGTTGGTGTCAATGAAACAAAGATTTACACAACCAAATCCGCATCAGCACTTACCCTCAATGGAATTCTTAAATTTGAGCTGTCTCATTTTAACTTTTTTCTTTATTCTAAGAACATTTTTTATTATTATGGTTAGTAAAATTATACAAAAAAATTACAAAAAGGAATCAAAATAGAAGTAAAAAAATTAGTAACACACTAATGCAAAAAATAAAGACAAAAAAATATTGATTGAAGTCTGTTTGAGGCCATAAACGTTTTTTAGTTGAATAGTTTTTCTTGTCAACTGTTTCACAGCGCTTTTCTCAAGAACACGTATCCGAATTAGAAATAGAAACAGAAAAAGGAGGACCGCTACAAGTATTAGTAACATAAACAGAACCATAATAAGTATTCGTCGTAAAAGTAAGCATACCAAAAAAACTACCACCAGTATAGGTAGGACCAGTATAAAAATACTTTTGACAGTAAAGAGTACCATTATTATTGGTACATGGAGTGCAAGTATTAGTACAACAAACAGTATTACTGCAAGCTTGTGCTAAAATTCAAATTTAAGAAATATATATTCTTATTGTTCAAATCAAATAATCAATTAGCTATCAAAGTTTCTGTTTGAAAGCATGGGTGTGAATTGCGATCTGGAGCAAGAATATTGATCGATACAAATACGAATGTGTCTGATTCTCATGTATTCAGCTGCACTCTCATCAACCATTTTCAGGATGAGAGTAATAAAAGACCTATTACCCTCGTTCCTCACATCTTCTTTTATAAGTTCATTTAAAATGAACAAGATACTACCACCACTCAATAGGAAGGAGCTATGTAGCAGCATTTGTTTTCAACTCCATGGAACTCATGAGCTCTAACTGTCACAGGTATAGTACCGGACTAATCCCATACAGTTTTCCGATGAATGGAACAAAACGGCTTGTAATTGAAAAAGAGGATGAAAATTAAAAAGTAGTTCAATGAAAATTTGCAATCTCATCGAGGGATGTAACTCTTTATGCATAGTACCACCCACCAAAGTGATACAGACTAATTAGAAAACTTACTCCCTCCCGCTGCTGCAGTCGTAGTTGTTGTTGTAGTTGTTGTTGATGTTGTAGTAGTTGTAGTTGTTGTTGTTGTTGTAGTAGTTGTAGTCGTTGATGTTGTAGTTGTTGTAGTAGTAGTAGTTGTTGTTGTTGTTGTTGTTGTATCGGTTGTTGTACTCAGAAAAAAAAAA